GATAACATGTCACAGAATCTGCAACGCATTTTTTACTCGTATTTTATGCACATCTGTAAAACAAAAGTTATACATTATTGTTTAGCTAAGTTTAGCGGTTTAATAAAATCCGTTCTCGTAAGTTAATAGGTTGATTTCTTATGTCACTGATGTTATAAAGATTCTTATTGTATCATATTATGCTAAATGCCAAATACCAATCTCTTTTTATCCATAATAACGACTTATGTAAAAGGTAAATCTTGTAAAATGGAATAGAGCTAAATAAATGTCTTGTACTGGACTACAAGACCATCTTATAAATTGGCTTTACTATTTGTGTATTGTTCAGCATAACACGAATTTACGTGCTAAAGTGTTTCTGATTTTAATCTAAAAGCGTTTATAATCATATTATAACCTACTGAATCGAACAAAATCATAGATATTTTGACTAGCTAGTTGTTAGTCCAATGCGATTACAATGTTTGACTAATCAAAGTGCCCTATAATCTTTGTTTGGTATCTAAATATAATAAAACGATATAGAGTAAAAATAAGCCAAAAAAGGAACCTAAAACTTTTTACCTTTGCGTGTTTACAATCGAAATTTCTTCCGGGTTATAAACAATAGTCACCGACAAAACCGAAGCACCGTTTCAGAGAGACGATATCCCATTCACCTTGACCAAGCCCTAGCACCATGCTTGTCTTTCCTCTGTCACACAATGTGTACGAATACTTCTCTCACCTATGTTGACGCTTAAAAATATGGTACGCGCGTTATCTTCAAAAACACGTGGCATTTAAAATGACAAATGTTCAAAACCCTCACTCACCCTTTACTGCAGAATTTATTTTTGTTATTTTTATTACTTTTAACGGTATATTGATTTATGTTGCACTTGAAAATAACTCAAGTATTAGGCACTTGAGATTTAAACTGGACTCATATAAACGGGTGCTACGCAGTCTTTATTATTCTTGTTTATGTAATAACTTGTATTTAGTTATTACAAAGTACAAGTAGGTAAATGTTGGTAATCAGTAATAACCAAAGATTCAATTTTGATATCGGGTTAAAAGCTTAAGGTAAGAATTGCTTGTATTACGAGTATATGTTTTATTTATGAACACAATTTGTTTCCTGTGAGATAGATTATAGGAAATATAAAGTAAAAAATATAGGTATAACATTGTTTTTAATTGAGAATAACAAATATTTTTCATTTGTTTGACTATTATAATTCAATTGTTATATGTTTATGACACAATTCCTACTATAACTTATTAATAACTAGCTGTGCCAGCGACTACGTTCGCGAGAATACGATTACTTTTGGGCATCCAAATTAGTTTTTGCAAACCTAATCTTTATAAACTTAAGCTACGACGTCGACCGTGGCCCTTCCCGTCGCCTTGCAAGTTAATCTTAAAAGATAGACAAATATTGTCGCGGACTTTTTTTAGATCATTTAAAGAGGAATCATTCTTCGTACATTTTTTTTTTTTTGGTATCTTGAACCATTTTCGCAGCGTACGCATCTGAAACCCACAGAGATGAAAATATTACCCCCTTTTTGTTCACATTTCCCGCTGTATCTTCGCTTCTATTAGTTACAGCGCGATGTTGTATAGCCTATAGCCTTCCTCGATAAATGTTCTATCCAACACCATAACTACTAAAAATAACAAACAAAGTCTTTAACTTGATAAATTAGTATAAATTATTACTACGACATTTCTATATAGTGATGTTAGGATACCTATAGGTATTGCGCTAAAGGTGCATGTATCGATAGGTAGATAAAAAATTCCACCATGACGTGTAGGAATCGGTAGCTCAATTGGTTAGAGCAACAGCACGGAACGGTGAGGATGCCTGTTCAAGTTCTGCCCGCGTCGTAAGATTTTATCAATTTATACTCGATTTTTACCTATAGGTATGTAAGAATATATTGTATCTAATTCTTTATTCTCACTTAGTATAAGAAGTTTGTGTCTTTTATGTTAAGTTTATAGGATATTAGGGACAGCCGTGTTTGTTATGCTTATAACATGTCAATTTTAATTAATGAGCCTAGGCGCTGGGTGGGCGACATTTTTTGTGGTAATTAACGAATGGTCGGAACTTACAGGGGCTATTATAGGAGAAGCTAATTGTTAGTATGGAGAGCTATGCTGTTCTATTTGTTGATGGAGACGCGCAGTATTGAAAATTGATGCCCAACAATGATGACTTTTAAATCAAACTCGTTTACGGTTTAAAACGCGATAAATATTATTTAAACTTATTTACAAATAATTAAACTACGGTTCGACGTTTAATAATTTTTAATGAGGTTAAATAAGTTTAACTAATTTATTTCGAGTTTTAAACGGTTGAAGTATTTTATTTAAATGTGTACTCGCGTAAACTACAGACAGTATTTGACTTTGAACTTTTTACATTCAATGACTAAGCTTAATCTGAAGCTTACGTTACATAAAATTACAAATCAAGAGGCTGAATACTGTTTATTGAATTTATACTTGAAACTCAAACACACGTCGCTAATTAAAACAGTTATAAACGGATTATAACTTGCTTATTAACTGGACTTTCAGGTCCTTGTAGTAGCGTTGGTCAATGTGAGTTAAGAGGGTCAACAATTCATAAATGAAAAATAAATGACCCCGCAGAAAACGCACGCAATGTCGTTGCATTAAAATATGACAGAAAGTGGCCATAGGTTACACATTTAGCCGATCGACATCGCCAAATGTCAATCGTCGCGTCTATCTGGCGTGCGCTTGCGACGACAGATGGATGAATGAACGCTCTAAGCACGCGGTTTACTCAAGCAGTTAAATATGACTGGAATTAGTCGATCGATCTGGCGAAAGATGGATTTAAGATGCCTGCACACATAATTAATAGGCTGCCGAGGCGGAATATGAGGAATTGAAGGATAGGTAGAGCGGCAAATCGTTAGTAAAAATGACTATACACATAACTACTCATGTGTCCTATATACCATGAGATATGAGGCTGCTCTAGAGCCATAGTAGCCTAACTGCAATTTTATTATTTGACTTATTTATATTATAAATTTTATAGTAGCGAGTATACACATTTAAAAAAACACTATAAAGGTTTTTTATTTTATTATAAAATGATTTTTAATGATTCGATCTTTACTTAAGAGCTGCTCAATCGAAAGCGAAGTAAAATATTTTCCAATTTAACTAATATATGCTTATAAACCGTTAAAGTGTTTATTTATTTATATTATAGTCTAAAAATGTTAATCTACATGAGCACAATGACTGAAAAATGTTACCATATATCTTACACAAATAATAGTACAAATTCATTTTCGCCTAACTTAAAGGGGCATTTATATTTTTCTCCTTATTGAAAATCATGTATTTTGTTATTAGGCCACTCTGGTTCTAGCTTTATGTAGTGTAAATCATAAGGTTTGGAGTTCTAATAAGTGGTAGACTACAATGATTTCCGCCTAGCATTTATTTATTTCAAAAAGATAATAATGGTTGTTAAAAAGTTAGGCTTTTGCGCTGAAGTAAGAAGGTTGATTATAAAATCATAACGAAATCTACATTACAAGACAAAAACGTCTACTAGATTAAGATGTATACTTTGTTACCTTAGTTTTTCATGGACATTTTCTAAGCATTCTAACGATGATATTTCTGTTTTGTTTAACATAATGTTTCTCAGGTTTTAAATATGTTATAGGTAAAATAACTAGTAAGACCTAAGAATGTCGTACCGATTCTACGCCCCGTTGCAAAAATTGTGTGCGCGCTTTAAATTAAAATTTTTACAAAATTTTTAAAAAAGGTTTTTTTTTTTTTTTTTTTCCCGGGGATTCCCCCCCCCCCCCCAATTGGGGGGGGGGGATTTTTTTTTTGGGGGGCCCCGGGGGCCCCCCCCCCCCCCGGGGGGGGGACCCAAAAAAAAAAAAAAAAAAAAAATTTCCCCTTTTTTTTTTTTTAAAGAAAATCCCCCCCCGTTTTTCCTCTTTTTTTTTTTTTTTTTTTGCGGGCCGGGGGGGCCCCGCCCCCTCGTCGTGGACTAATCAACTGGCAGGTAAGTGGTTTACGCTATTATTCCTTTAAGAATTTACCCAAATTAAGATATACTAAAGTAGCGGGCAATTAATATTAATAGACAGAAAAAGCTTTTTACACTCTCCGAAAAGAATACATCGGTTGTTGGCAACACTAAAATGTCAGGAGCCCCTAAAACAAAATCGGCTTGTAAAACAGTGACACACTCTTTTATATTGAGTCATAGTCCACAGATTATTTGTTTACCATGAAAAATAATAGATATAAGTAGATCTACCTACTCAGATATAGATTCTATCAAATCTCACAATCTTTGTATTTAATGCAATAGTTATAGTAAGTCTTAATATCTTAATAGCATCTGGTAACACCTTCACAGGAACTACCATCGAGTTTAATATAATTTTTAAGATATTATTTGTAACCTTGTTTTTTGACTAAAGACCTCGTGACCATATGTCATGAAATGAATTAATAAAAAAACTACCATCAAATTCATCTTAACGAAGCAATTTTTATTTTATTAACTAAGGTTTGTAAATTTAGTTTTTGAGTATGAGTTGAGATTAAAAATGTTTAATTAACCTAGACTATATGGATAATAAAATAAATACCCACCTACTTTTACTACTCGTAGCGTATTAAGTGAAAATCTTACTTTTAGACACAACCTAACTAGGTGTCTTTTAGGCACATAAAATATATAAGTACATAAATAAAAGCAGGAAACAAAAATAGAATCAATTTTTGTATAAAGATTTTAAAACATAGGTGCATGAAGTGTAGGTTTATAGAGTGTGCAGTTTGCAAGTAATTAGTTGAACTATCGATCACATTTAACCGACCGCGACGTATTTGACATCGCTGAAAAGAATTCACACAAAGATTCATGTAACGCAAACCCAATCTACTAAGGAAAATAAAACAGTTTAATAAAATCTAACCGTCCATCTGTCTGGGTTGATGCCACTCGTCTCTCCACTCCTGACCCTCCATCACATCACTTGGCCGATTATTTTTTCAACGGGACACTATAAATCAGTTTTCTGTTAATCTTGCGCGCGCGCAGATCGTGGCGCGAGGCGAATGCGTCTGTCGTCGGCGCCTGTTAACGCGAGACCGCCTTACGCCCGCCCAACGCCCATGCGCGTATATATCTGCCTTTAGGTAATCTTATGTACAATGTTTTGATTTAGCTAAGTGTTTTTATGCTCGAGATCTCGGAATGAGTTATTTTATGGGCCTTCTGTGTGGGATCGCGGTTGGGCCGGCTATAAATTTCGGGGCCATAAAGATTAAAGAATATGACATACATATTATATTACGATTACACCTGAGTATAGTCTGTATTCATATAATTTTATTATTTACTCATCAGACAAAAAATAGATTTTGCCAATATTATACCTACCTTTGCATTGGTTATGGTGATCCAAATTTCTTTTGATACCCGCCTCCCCCCGCATACACACACAACGCGATTACGTAACTAAATATACCTAGGTAAACTCGAAACAATAAGATTTAAAATACCTACTCACAATATTGTTTTTATATGATAGGTAGATGATGACAGACAAACATGGTGTTCGCTGGGCGGAAAGTGAATATCACAGCCATGCCTATAACAACGTAACAATTGCTGTCGCCCTTGTCAATTAGGATATTCGAAAATCCACAGACTAAAATCGAACGTAGGTATTTCAAACTGAAACTTAACTATATTTACACATCTACACAGATAGAACCCGCTTATTAACTATAATTAGACCAAAAGCCCGTCGTGTGCGTTTTGTTTCTCCGCACCTATAACCTAAGTCTTAACCCTTAGTACAGCATTGCTTAAAACGCTAGATGTCCTAGTTTCAAAAAAGTTTAATTTTGCCTAACAAATACCCAATTTAGATCATTTAGGTATCTATCTACACAAAATAAATTAGACTAGTAGTACTTATTTAGGTTATTAGTACTAAAGACATCTTATTTAAACTTTTGTATGTTTTAGAGGGTATTACTAAATCTTATTAGATATAAATTACCTGTATCTAGTTTAGGAGAAGGGATTGTTTAAAAGTGTAAGTTATTTACGTTTTTTCTAACATCAAGCGTCGATTGATGAAAACAGGTAACACTTGCGTTTTTCTTAGGTCTGGGTTTTGTTTGCGTAATATAAATAGACGCGATAAATATACCCATTTATATAATGTAATTTTTGTGTATATAACTAAGAATTACACTGGCTACTAGTGTTATTGAATTTTGTTTGAGGCGTCGCTGCTTAAATGCGATAAACGCTAACTTATTTACATATACCTAAGTATAATTTTGGTAGCCTGTTCTTAGCTAGCTCCTTGTAGAAGCAGGCGCAAATATGTACCCTTTTTGGGTGTAATTATTGTATTATTTATACATTAATCAATCATTACCTTATCAGATCCAATAGGTAAATCTGTCTTTAAATATATTTTGTGCGTATTGTTCAGTTGTGTATTAAACAGTAAATACCTAAATTATTTTAAACATATTTAAGAGTTTACTTAATATAAAACTACCCTCGTGTCTTGTGTAATAAGGAGCGGAAGATAGTCTTTATATAGATGTAAGACAATATTATAGTTATTAACCTTTATATTGTGTAATATGGTAGAACTGATTAATTTCAGTGCAATCCTTAACCATATTTTGTCTTTCCTTTCAGATTTGTCCTAATTTGAAGGTCGAGAACAGGCTTAACACTATTAGACCTACCACGACGCATTATTGTGAGTTGGCAGACTTAAATGACTAAATTAACTAACCCTAAGAAGTTTGCCATGATAACTGGGACCGAAAGCGTACTCCAGAAAACGTTTATTATGATAGGGATTCGAACCCTGAACATCTTAATCTGGAGTTAATTGTAGTAAACACTAATGCCCACAAGGGCTTGGCCGAGTCGAAATTATTTTCGATTTTTAATCTATATTGTGCCATCAAAAATATTAAAGTTTTCAAAGGCCAACAAGGCAATAAAAAATAATGTAGCTATCCGTAATAATATATACAGTAATAATGTATGTCAGTGTTTAACTTCATATCACCATTTGATATATTTTAAAATATTTAACGTAATGTAGCATTGAATTCTTAAAATTAAAGCAACCACAAACTATTACATTAAAATAGGTAATTATTTAAACTTAAACCGTTGCTAAAAATTAGTGGGTAGTTATTTATTCTATGTACCTACTTTTAAGGTTCTAGTCACCACGAAAACTAGCAATTTACGCCATGAAAGTTTTACATTATTTTATGCAAATGCCTGTGAAATTAAAATTTATATTATTTACTTTCAAAGGCATTATATTATTATAAGACAAAATTACTTAATCTTCATATCTCCTTTCCACTGGAAACTCATGGTTGACAAAGTAGGCGTCCAATGTATCTCTTTTAGTCTGGCCATAAATCCTGTAGTGTGAAAGAGATAAAATACGGGGCGGAGTCTACCGAGATCAAACTACGCATCTGGGAATTTGTTTCTGTAAAATAAGAGCAAATTGATATTTAGGAAGGCATTAATGACACGCGAAGCTTGGACGCGGTAAATTATAAAATGAGTATTAAATATAATATGTAGGAATGAATAGTCTTGGAAAGCTAACTGAACTTATTTTCGTATAGAATTAAAGATTTTAATCGTAGAGGAGGACATGCCCGGCTTTCACTCGATGGTGGGTAGAATACCTCAGCTATATAACATTTAACAAGATGTGCTGTCGGCCTATTTCGTCGTTGTTTGTGAAACGAATTTTTGATATTCCTACAAGACTGTTTCAGAAAAATTAATCCGCGTTCCAGGTTATTATTATTATTTTCCATTCCTCCCCTACATATTATGCAAATCTCAGTCGTACCCCGAACTGTTCGTTTACAAAACTACCTAAATCTGATTAAGCATATAATGTACCTATAAATTATGATGAATTATTTTTCAAATTACTTAAATTACTTATGTAGGTACTAATATTACTGAACATAATTGTATAATTAAAAAGAATGTGGGCTTGATACGTCGGATATAAATAATACCTACTTAGTTGAACTTGAACTATTTAATGTTCATAGTGAAAGTGCGAAGGACTGTTACCGTAACGCGTAACGTAACGGTATTGGCCCTCCCATAAGAAGCATAATTTTAAAATTAAGATTGATATTAGTTTGAACGCATAAAAAGTTTAAGACGCGTAACGCAATAATAAGCTAACGCGAGTAAGTATTTATAATACATAAATAGTTAAAATAAATTGTAACTAAGTTTAACTAATAAGTTTCGAGTTTTAAACCGCTAAAAGTGTTTTTTTTTTAATCAAGGGAAGTTGTTTAAGCTTATTTAGTCCTCCCGTGACAAAGCTGGATCAGATCGGATACCTACGTCGGGCCGTAGTTAAAATAAATTGTAAAGAAGTTTAACGAATACATTTGCGTTTTAAACCGTTAAAGTATTTGTATGGAGCGTTGTTTTCGTAGCTATTGAAATCTATTTTTCTATTACGACTCCATGAGTCACCTAAGTTTTTATGAAAGTTTATTGCTCTTGCATTTCCGAAGCAGCTCTTGGCTTTATTTACGTTTATGTTGAGAGCGACGACAGCGCTAACGACGCGTCTTCCTGCCACACATTTGTCTGTCAACGGGCGCATGGTACCGGATGCAGCACAGAAAAACATCCAGATACTTACGGTATTTGTGTCTAGGACTTGGCAACTGAAATGTTAAAAAAACCTAAATAACTTCACTTGTTACACAGCAAACAGTTGAACAATATCTAGGACAGTTTCTTCAGTGTTTTGTAATACACAATGTAGACATGCGTATTAATTACTAGTTAATACTCTAATGAGAATGGAACCGTAAGAAAAGTTAAAGAAGGGGTCTTGGTCACCTCATTGTTTGCCAGTTCTTTAACTTCAAAGAATTAAGAATATTTTTTCAATGATAGAGGACGACAGACAAGCACTTGATGTCAGGTCAAAAACCCCAGCCATATAACGTCTAAACAAGACGCGCTAACGACCGTTTCTGTCTCTGGATATTCGGAAGACCACAGACTGAAACCGAACCGCGATTGATTCTGACAGCTTTTCATCTGTGGAGACTGGTTCGTGACCGCACGGACTTGTGTAAGCCCCATTTAATATTTCGATTTCCAGACGAAGTTCAACATGTTTCAGAAAAATTATAAATGAATTGAAGATCCGTTGATTATTAGCTTTACACCATCGAGCCGAGAAGTTGAACAGATCAGGTTAAGGATCTCGTGAAAACTTCGCTTCTATCTTAGAATATCTAGTTACATACAATGATTATTCTTCGTTTTAGTATATTGCATTTTATAAAAATGTCTGGTCTGGTGTGTAATTTATTTATACAACAGTTTCTTCTCTACAATACAAAAAACAAAAATCACGTCCCTAACTTTTTGACAATAGCTAATTGCTAATAAAACCATATCAAACGGCAAAGGCGTCTGTTTAAATGTTTTTATTATACTATTTTTGTGTGTGACATTACTCGTAAATTGTAATATTTTAAAAGCAAGGAATGTATAAAGGAAAATACCAATAGGATATCGCAAATATTGATTTTAATTTTTAGTTATAATTTACCCATAATTGTTTATACCTATGTTTTTAATTCCTGGATGTGTAGGCATTTTAATCCGTTTTGGTAAGGTAACGGTACGTTAGTACTATTATTTTTATCATTGCAAAAATATAATGACATAAACCCATCATCGCGATTCAGGTGAACGGCCGCGCAGGCGCATGTCTCCCATATTTCCGTCATCGATGCGTCTGATGCGCGCCAAAATAAGTTTACTGGTTTGACACGATCGCTTTACGATCCGCGGCCTCTCGATGACGCATTTTAGTCATTTACTATCTTAGCCCATAGTTCTATTGAGCAATTGTTTGGGCTTTTATTAAGAAGAAAAAATAAATATTATTAAAAGGCAAAGTGTTTTCTTCTCGGTAATGTATATTGTCAGGGACAAACCAATAGGTACCATTGTTACAGTTTATTTAAATAAAGTTTCTATGTTACTAGTTATCTGTTATTTATCTCTTTATTGATGCGCACTCTAACAAATGGAACGCAAGGATATTTCTGTTGCCATTGTTCTATTATTTAGAAAAAAAACTAGTGAGAAAAATGTCTGTAGATACTTTAAGTCTAATTTAAACTATTTAGCGCCATCTAGAACGTAACAACGTAAATTTTATATATTTCTTTTGGCACCCTCTCTTCATTTTGTAGTGAATTTGTTGTACAGGCAGGAGATCTGAGCTAACACTCTAACTACTAACATAAACAGTAGTTTTTTATGGCAACCCTTTATATCAAATGCCACGCTTCTGGAAGCAGAATTTTAGAATATATTTTAAATCTCATAAAGAAAAGGGTATATTATTTCTTAAACATAACAGTCTTAATTCAAATGGCACATAATAATTATATTAAGTCATTTTATACAAATTTTTTGAACGGTGTGCAAGCATGTAGAAATTAATTTTATTTTTAGATCTGGCAACAATACTTGTTTTTGGTGCAAGATTTCGGGAAGCATCATCAATCATGAGTTATTATGATTTTATTTTGCTATGAAAATTTTAATATAAATAAGTAGAAAGTGATATTTTTCTATAAGGTTGACTTTAAATTATTATATCATACGTGCCGTAAACAGTTATACAAGTGGAGCTACTAAAGAGATTGCTTGCGATGGCCGGCCCGTCCGACGGGGACTCCGACGGATGGGTCCAGTTTTGCGAGCGTCAAGCCAAATCTGCTGCTCAAGACTGCGCTAAGGCCTGCGTGCAATACATACAGACCAACACAGCCGAGGTTGCAGCCCGCCCGTACACATCGCAAAAGGAATTGTTGAAAAAATTCGTCGAATGTTTCTCTGAACACTTCGACTTTGAATTTAACAAACTAAAGGCGCAGCATAAATTATCGAATGGAACTCATACCGGCCACGACGAAAGTGATTACTCTGAAGACACTGAATCGCCGAAAACGCACCACAAACCTTTCTTCAGAAGGTTATCGTTCAAGGGCTTGCGGCGTGGTAAGGGCTTGTTCCAGAAACAACATTCAGACGAAGTAGAGCTATCGACGAATTTGAACAAACACAATAAAACTAAATTAGCTAAAATAGTTGTTGAATGTAGAAAAGAAGGATTAGTAAATTATTTAACCCCTGAAAGCTTAGAGCAGCCTGGGGGACCACAGAAGTGGGAGAAATGTAGGCTAGCGTTAGTCAAAACTGTAGGTGGTTACATGCTAGAGTTTTATTCACCACCAAAAGCTCAGAAGCCAAGGAGTGGTGTGTTTTGTTTTCTGATATCAGAAGCCAGAGAAACAACAGCTTTAGAGATGCCTGACCATGAAAATACTTTTGTATTAAAGGTAAACTATGTTTAATATTAATGTAATATTGTGAGAATTATTGATACACTGCGGCTGGAAGTCTGTTAGTTCATATCTTTGGATATGAAAAACAGTCCTCACATCCTAACTTTTTTAGCATTGTAAAACCAATAAGATCTTTTCTTATATTACACATTATGCACAGATAGGGGTTTTTCTGGGGCTGTTTGTATTAAAAAATTGTTGTTTTCATTTCTTACATTCATACATTTCATACTTTTTATTTATGTCAACATTCAATCTATTTCAGGCTGACAATAACATGGAGTATGTAATAGAAGCAGCTGACGTAGATGACATGAAATCATGGCTAGCCACAATTAAATATTGCATGAGATCAGCACCAACAACTCAACCCCCTCCTGAATCTCTAGCAGGCTTGCCAGAACCAGCACCGCCAGATCTGCCTCCACGGAGAGATTTACCGATAAGTACTAGTAATGCGGATTTAGCTACAGACACACCTGAAGACGCAGAATTAGGTATATGTCTTGACACCTTTATTGGTTAAAATATTAATGTATTAAGAATATCATAGACATCACATTGTTTGTAGCATGCATTTAATTATCATTTGAGCCCTTGCAAACTACTGTTTTTATATGTAGACCAACACAAGCAATGAGACCTCATGTGGACTAAGTTGTTACATACTTAAAGATTTAAATAAAACACTGCAACAAATATTATTTGTAAAATTATTTTAACTATGGCCCAATTTCTTATGCTTTGCAGCAGGAGTGGTCACGGGAAGACCAAGGGATACTTAATAACATACATCAATATTTATGTACTATCTATAATCACCAACATACCTCCTTATTTAATAACTATCATCATTACAGGGTCAATAGCAGAAGAGGGCTGCGAGGCTGGACCTCGTATGTCTCTGAGTGAGTGGCCTTGGTTCCATGGGACCCTAGCGCGTTCTGCTGCGGCTGCGTGCGTGCTGGCAGGCGGGACTGCAGCCCATGGCTGCTACCTGGTGCGCCAAAGTGAGACACGGCGTGGGGAATATGTGCTTACATTCAATTTTCAGGTATGTTACTATGACCACCAACAGCCACCTCTATGGTTTAATTTCATGGTTAAAGGCATGCCTTAGAGTGCGTCAGTCAGGATAGCTCATAGATTCGTATTTTTAAGCTATCTGGCCTTACGAAAAATTATGCGATGATAAAATATTCATTTGTCTTTGAATATATATTTTTATTTCCAACATACGGATTCTTTATAAGGTTTAAGCATGAACACAAATTTTCAAAGTTAACATTAAGTATATCAACACATATGTATATTTTTTCTAACTTGGCATTTTTTGTAAACAAACACAATTTACATGAAATGAATGAATCGTGAATAGTCTTTGCCAAGTTAGAAAAAATACACTAATTTGTCAGAGCTCTACAATCTGAACACAAATTGTGTTTGACAGTAATGCCATACTTGATCTCGCCAGAAAAAAAAAACATTTAAAATTTTTATGTAATTTCCAGGGCCGAGCAAAGCACCTTCGCATGACTTTAAGTGACTCAGGCCAATGCCGAGTGCAACATCTCTGGTTTCCCAACGTCCACGACATGCTGGAACATTTCCGAGCTAATCCCATACCCCTGGAGTCTGGAGGTGCAGCAGATGTTACATTAACGGAGTATGTCGTCTGTCAGGAAGGCGCTAGACACCAAGTGAGCTATAATCAGACAATAGCTTAGTGTATGTTAACTTTAACCAATTGTGGAACAGATATGACATGCTAAATTATTTTATTTTGTTTTGTCAACCGCACAAATATTCTTTACTGATATTGGTCAGTTAAGAAAAAAAAGATACTTTTATTAAAATAAATTTCTACATTTTTTATTATTTGTTCAAAAAAAACTATAATATTGTACTAAATAGAAATGGTAAAACGTTTTATTCAATAGAGGTTTTTAGACCCATGTCATTACCACTGTATCTCATGTTGTTTGAAGGTAACGGTAGTTGTTCTAGACTGAAACTTAAAGCATATGAATGTTGAAAACATTGTTTTACACTTAGTTTGCGAACAAACGTACGAAGTCTAATCCTGTTCGTAGGTCATGACTAGAAAAAACACCGCAATGTTTGACATTAATTTTAAATTCTCTTTAAGTCTTTGGTGTAAATTTGTTGTTAATAACTCACCGGTCTTTGCAAGTTTTTGCAGTTTCGTTGTGAGGCAAAAATTTTTCCAAAAATGGTAAATTGAGGCTTAACTATAATCCCACCGAAGAGTCTCAATGTTTTTTCTGTCTTATATATATAATATCATTTTTATAAGATTCAAGTGCTCCATCCTGTAGCGGACAAGTAATAAATTTTTGTCTCAACTTTGCTATACTTTTATATGTTTTGTTGCTATTAATGTTATAGTTGTAATGTAGATTAGTCTAAGAATAATGACAATATAGAATTGTATACGAGAAATAGTTACATAGTATACTTTCTACGTGTTACTATTCTAAGATATACTTGTACACCAGAATAGATAAAAAAAATATGGAGGTAGTTTATATTGTTACATCGGTGCTTATATCTGCAATAAACTATAATTTACAAAATTAAAAGTCCTTCGCTCTCAGAAACTATTGAGTTAGTTACTTGCTCAAGTAAATTTAAAATAATATCTATTGTGGTGTTGCTTTTGTTTATTTGCCCATTTTTGTTTGCACTAGCTATGTATTTTTTACATATGAAAACATTTGGCAGCTGAAAAGTTAACGATTAAACATGCCATAACAATCCTTGTATATACTATGTAATGTTTTAATCTTTATCATTTATCAATACGATAAAATTATTGGTTTTTATATATTGCTTTAGGTACACTATGTTTGAATATAGAGACGATTTGGTTTAGTTTTTAAATACGAAATGTATATTTGATTTTTTTACTGTTGATTCCTGAACGTGCATTTTATTTATTGTGAAATTATTTATGTTTAAAGGTTAGGCGTCGGTGAAAACCGACAGATGGTTTCAACGCCAGTTTCTCTAAGTGTACAGGTTTATTATTTAACTGTTAAAAATGGGTAGTTGTATCAAACAAATATTAAAAAGTCAATGGGATAAGTTATTTAATTTTCACCATTACATCAATACTGAACAACCAAATAAACTGTATACTATAATTTATGCGAGTAGAACACAATTTAATAAAAAACACTATTTACGGTTTAAAACGGGAAATATATCAGTTAACAGTTTCATGTGCATTGCAGTAGCCGTGGTAACAAATTAGTTAACGTATTTCGCGTTTCAAACCGTTACTTTTCAGTTAAGATACACCCAAAACGGATTGTTATTCGTAAAGTACTAATCAGATAGTTGTAGTTTTTGTTGATTTTTGTACAAACCGAACTTAAGTTCTGTCCAGCTTTAATCGTATTTTGATTTAGTTTTTTTTTATTAAAGATACATGCTAAAGGCTTCGTTTTTTTTTATTTGCCGTTTCTATGTGTTGCCTTATAATTACGTTTTTCGTGTTTAAAGGTGAGTTTTTATTTCTTTAGTTGTAGAATAATGTTGATATGTTGTTCCTACAAATTTGACATATATTATTTGCAATTTTTAATTTTAAACTTACACATATTTAGGTACACAAAGCTTTAATTTTAAAATTGCTAAAATAGATTTTGCTCATTGATCGCTTTTATTCACATACAAGTAGTTGATTTTAGTTCTGCGCCCCGACTGAAATTATTCTTTACTCGCGATTCAAACCCAAATGATTTCTTGCGCTTAATACGATTCGTAACCACCTTCAGAGCTTTGTGAAGCACTCCATCTTCAGTTCTTAATAGCATTAGCAAATTTACGGAAAAACCTTTTTCAGCTGGAAGTGAGCCACGGCAGCGATGTGCGCATGCGTCGAGCCGAAATGGAAGCCCTGTTTGCCAACAACGGCAACTCACATGACGTTCGCGCGGTTGACAACCAGTACGTGCTGTGTAACATTAGACCTTCGACCTCAGATCGCAATGGTGCCTAGTATTGCAAGGACGCGGGAACCAATACTTCATCACGAAAGTGAACAAAAGAACACAAAGTGGTGGAAGTGTTCGTCTTAACGTTTATTGCGTCATCGCGGACTGATCGAATATATTGCATAAAAATACTTTTGACGGTTTCAAACGTGTAATATATTAGTTAAATTGTTTTTACACGAAGCTTCAGTTGACATGCAGCCAATATGAATTACCACAGATGGCGCTAGCGTAGCTTTGATATTGGGATACCCACATATTAGGCTGTTGTAAAGCATAACAAACGACAACTCGCGTAAGTTTAGAGGCAGAACACAATTAACTTGTGAACAAATTCATTCAGCTCAAATATACAATACTTTTAAGACAATAATTTCTTAAAGTTTTCGCTCCTTTATCACAAAATGTATATGAGTAGTCCTACTTAATCATAGCCCGTTTTACTATAAGCGGCTATAATCCCGTTTCTCGTTATTTTTATTTACAGGCAAGTAGTTGATCAAATTTCTGTTTCCATTTCGCTCAATAAATTGTTTCGAACCTAGTACCGCGCTTAACCATGCAGCCATGAAGGTGAAGCTACCGTTTCAGTATAGCTAGGGCAACCCCAGACTGACTGGAAACCAGAGACGCAAAATAGTCATGCAAAAATGTTGAGTACATAACGCGAAATGTAGATTAACGTTATTTATTAAATAGGCTATGTGAAGTTTATTTCACGCTTGTTGTAATTGCTTAACGAAACGTACATTAGTTAATATCAAAACTTGCTCTGTATGCACAATTACCATTGAATAGGTAATGACGTTAATAATTTTGTTATACTTACAGTTTGATGGTGCAATACAAATAAGAGTTAAATTAATTTTTGCGTACTTCTTGTAAGTCTCATTTATGCCTATAGTGGTACAATCACAGGCGGATCCAGGGGAGGTCATGTGGACATAACCCCCACCCCCGAGCTGGTTCTAGGACTTAGTGAAGTGTTATGTGTTTAATTCCTTAAGTATACATTCAAGAAGAAATATTTTGAAGTACAGTCCGTTAACGTGTGTACATTTAAAAAAATACCAACTTTTTAGCGTTGATGTTGTTCTTTTTATTATCAAGTGGAGCAGAACTCCATTTCTTCAATTATTTAAGTGTTCAAAGAGGGGTATGCCCGCCTTTAGGTAAATATAACACAATGAAAACATCATACGAGTAAATGTTTTTTTTTCGTATTAACAATCTGTAAATATTGTGCTAAGTTATTATTTATTTAAAATGTTGTATAGCAAATGTTGGAATTGAATTAGTTTTAATAACTTTAAGGCGATGTTGAGAAAAAACCTTGTAAATATAAAATCTTCAATGTCTACTGGGAAATTGGTTTTAATAGGTATTAATTTAAGATGATAAATAATTGATGAAAAAAGTCGATTGGGATTAGTAATGTTCTAGTCAAAACTTTGCGTGGGCGCATTAAACTCTGACTTACGCAATGACCATAAGTTATTGAAAAAATACCAATATTTTCGATATATAAAAGGTGCCCCTTTGTTTTTATATGTAACTGGTGCAAAGGTCGAAAGTATTGGAGTATGATCTTTTCAACAAACCGTAATTTCAATACCTACTTACATGCACTTTCGTGTCTTGAAAAAAACTGTTATTTCTTTGAAAATAATTTTTCGATTTCTTTGATACTAGGCAATTGCTAATTAAGAAATGGTGTTGATAGACACTTAAGTGTTGTAAAAACGAAAAATATGTGTTGCCTTAAAAAATAGATAAAATGTCGCTGTTGAGAACTAATTGTTTAATCCATTGTATAGGATAGCTTAGAATGAATTAACGAAATTATCATTTTCTTCTATTTTACAAAACGTGTATTTTTTATCCGGATTAGGTTTTACTTTGTATATTTGAAACCACCTCTTTTGTCTGCTTTCTTCTAGGGATATGTCGTAATTATATTATCTACAATAAAAGTAGATTTTCGTATTCACTTTTCGCATTCAAGGCCATTTTTTAATTATTTGTAAATATGATTTTTTAGTAGAATCCGATACTTGTTTACGTCACTTAAATTTAATGTTTATATGAACGTTAAATTTGTTTCAACTTAACGACGTTAGATAGTACTGTAAAATTACGTATTATTTTTACAATATTGTAATAGTTACTTAAGTTTCGCCATTTCACTAAGCTATTACAATTACAGGATAACATTAATGTGTAAGGTACTTTACTGTTTCATATTCAATAAGTTGTTATGAGTAGCTAATTAACTTTTTTACAGCTCAATATTTCACAGTTAATAAGATCCAACACATCCCAAATTTCCTTATACTTAACGGAATTAACCAATAAAACATATAAAAATCGTACAGTATATTCGTTATACCATGAAAAAGTATGGCGGTAGGAAATTAAAAAACATACCTACCCTTTTTTGGAATAAATTATCGAAAAAAAACTGATTGTCATTATGATGTATATGTATCTGTATTTTGTAAAAAAATAGTTGAAAAGTACACATTATATTTTGCACAAAAGTTTTTTTTTATTTGCAATAATCATAAGACACATTTGACTTAACCTACGAAACACTTTGGCTCTGCTACAAAATACTCGGGAACGAACAAGATATCAGTCATCAAGTAATGGCACAATATAAAACTCTGAGAACATTTGCCTTTGATCTTCTTTCTCTAACTTCAGTTGCAGCAGAAGAAGGCCATTTGAACTGCATCTCAAAACTACCTGCACAACATATATTATTTATTACCCAGTTACACACATCCTTACATATAAATCTTTGTCTATTAACATACTTTCTTCATCTTAGTGTGAAACTGTAAGTGGCATAGCGAAGGCTAGGTGGTGCAGTGCACCAGGGCCCCGGAGTTGGGGACCCTCCTCCTTGAATAGTTAAGTTCTTTCCACAATTTTGTAGGCTCATATAAGTTCAAACTATGCAGAAACAGGGGGATTTGGGGTGGGGGGAAAGGCCCAATTCTTTCTGTAAGTACCAGGGTCCTTTGTCCACCTAGCTACGCTGGACAGTATTTAAAATTTATTTGATAAAGAGCAATTAATTTTAGTAATCTGTTTACTAAATAACTGTTAAATAACGAAAGTTATGCTTTGCAGCAGCTATTCAAATAATTGTTAATCTTTACCTTATTAGATACTGCCAGGGCCTTCATGATCAGGCGAATATGGTACAGCTGGTATTTAAGCGTCACAGCCCTTTCACAGGTAAAACTCTGCACCATATCTGAAGACTTGGGTATTTCTATACACGATCTGTCCTGAAAGAATTCTTAATTTCAGTAGATAGCTATACATTCTAATGACGACTCAGTCAAATATCACCAAACCAATATTAATTTTATGGTATATCGTATCATCTGCCAAACTACATTTTATCAGCGTGAGTCTATATTCGGATTCTATAATTATTAGTTTCTTTTGAAAACACTGCTTAAAGCCCATATAAGAAGCTGACAATTTCATCCAATTTCCCAGTCTTTCTGATGTTACGGTATTTAACCCGAACTGTGTCCTCTGGAGGTCGTATAAGACCCTTGTTATTAGGATCTGCTTAACAACTGAATTATTTTTAAATAAAACACTGAACGGTTTAAAACACGAAATATATTCTTAACTTATTAAAAAATATGTTAAACTTATTTAAAAATTATCTTAACTAAGGCCCGACGTTTCCACGTTATGCAAAGCATCCGAAATATATTTCGCGCTTAACTGTTAAAGTGATTTATTTAAATGTCTACTCGCGTAAAATACAGACAGTATATGACAATACCTGCATTCCGTAAGTCACTATACTAAGGTTCGGATGTTCTGGGGACAGATTGATTTCAATAATGTCACAGGACCTCTCCAGGTCAGCTAGGAGTCCCAGGAAGGCCGGGGCTTTGAGGACCAACTTGGATTCTTCCTCAGCGTCTTCATCACGCAGTTCTAGAAGCGTATCGGCTGTCTGCGTTGCAATTTCACAGTCGGTCATTACGTTTGAAAAAGACTGTGCTTGTAACCTATTAAATTTACAGCTAAGTTAAAAAACCATTATAAATTGAAAAATTAGGGGCAGGACTACACACTACTGCCATCATGTAAAAATATCATTTCAAATTTTTTTTTGCACTTTGCATTTGGAAACAAACAAGTCCTATCCAATATTCCAGACGATGTCTGTAGTTTACGCTGGTGGCAGACATTTAAAACGTCATTTCTCGTTTCGTTAAATTACGAAATATATTAGCTACCTACTAAATATTTTACCTTCGTCGCCACGTGAGTGCGTTCGACATACATTTCGCGCTTTAATGATAATTAATTGACATTTGATAGGACCGCAAAACCTTTTACTATATTTATATTACTTTTTATGAACTTTTTGAAATAATAATATAGTTCTATAGAAACATAAACTAGAAAAAGGCAACTTTAAAAAAAATCCAAAACATACACTAAAAGTAATGGAGAACCTTCACATCTGTAATACATTTTCAAACTAGACTCTTCCGCCGAACCAAATATGTTGAGGCATTCCGTTAACACTGCTATACTTATCTGCAAAATTATTCACTTTTAGATATACATATAATACAATACTTTGACTCGGTTATTCAACAACACATTACATTATTGTATAGCTAACTGATGTTAGGTAATAAAAGATTTATAATATTAGTAAAGATAGAATGAGATACCTTAAACAAAACATCAACATCATCTCGCACATGATACTCGTTGAAATTATCTGCTGGGATATAGGCAGATGCTTGGACGCACTTGCCCTCTTCCACTGTCAGCTTCAAGCCTTCTTGCATAGCACAGAAGACTGCAGACTAAAAAAAAATTTCAAACATTAAAAACTTTGATTGCCTGTACTTAAACATTCCTTGTTTATGTATAGATTTTATTGGCAAATTGAACACAGTCTATCCAATTAAAGATATTTGATAAATGTCCAAAGTCCAAAATGTCATATTCCTTGGTTACTAGGAAATTGTATTAAATACATGCCTAATACACTATTTAAACAATGAAGGTTTAACAAGATTAAACATAAAAAGATTACTAGTTTCTTAACAAACCTCTTGGAATTGGATAGCTTTTAACAAGCTACATAATGTCTTTCCAGAGTCCATAGATGCTGTGAAATAATACTGAGATGTACCATCACCCATTTTAATCTTCACTTTCAAACATGGACTGCAATAACATCAAATATTGGTCCTGGGTGATTTTGTTCTCAACAATTTTATCCAATATCAAAGCAATTCGAGCAGCTAATACATGTTTGCATGTCACTTGTGCTTTTTTCCCTAGAACTTGATGCTTAAATGCTTGGCATGGGCAGAAATTTATTCTAGGAAAAACTCGGTAGCATCTGTCGTTATCTCCTTTGATTTCTATTAGAATCCTCGTGTTGTTTGCTGTGGAATATATTTCTAAGGTAGGATACTTTTCTAACACTTCAAAGGCTCGCTGTAATACTGCTCCAAATGCTGAATGCAGTAACAATAGTTCCTCATCTGTAACTGTTCCAAATAATTATGAATAAAAACACAACCTCATAAAAGGATCAAGTTAATAAGCCGTTTTGCAAAATTTAAGCAAATGTTTTGTTTTGCATAGAAGATCGAAATAAATCAGTATAACATGACAAGAATAATATGTTATTTTCCATTTACCCATACATTGTTTAGTTTTTAAATGCCGTATTCTTTCTTCAATCTCGCGTAAAAGAGTTTCTACAACAACAGGAATCTTCGAGACGGACATATATGTATTACAATAACAACAATTAATTATTAATTAAAACGCTACGCACTCAAGCTGCAGCAAAGACTATTTTAAAACATTCAGTTCAAAATAACATTTAGGTTAGTTAACTTTTCAATTTTCATAATACTTAAACATTTAAAAAAATTCGCGGCGTTTGTCAGGCATATTCACAGATAACATATGTATATTTAATAAGCGATAGCCTGACATTACAGAAGATTGCTTGTACTCTGTGGTTTGTGGAATTACGTGTCAATTTCACTTTAATAACAATGAAGTTGTTTTTAATTTCTATAATTTGCAATTGAAATATATGACGACAAGTATATTCAAATCTCATAAGTTATCCTTTAACACAATATATAGTGCGAACCAACTACACCTATTTTTAATTGTGTAAAGATATTATCCTCTTCTTATTAGTGTAGTTATAAGCCTTTTTCAAGATGTCAAATTTAGGAAGCTCTTCATGGGAAGGTTTGTTGTGAACCTCTATAAAATACTGGCTATTAGTTTAGTGCCTTGATGTTTTATCTCTCACTCTTCCAGAGTTACGGAAACAGGCGCGCCAGCTTGAAAATGATATAGACCTTAAGTTAGTGGCCTTTAGCAAACTAGGAGTGAGTTCGGGATCCTCGAGTTTGAGTTCAGAAAGTATGCCATTAATAAACACTGATGATATGTTTGATACCTTATCTATGGAACTGCAACAGTTACTTAATAAGGTAGTTATCACTAATCTGAATTACCTTACTATATAGGAACTATTTGTACATACATTTTTATAGTATAAAAGACCTAAAATGTAAACAAATGTTAAGTTATTAATAAATATAGTAAAGTATTTATTAGTATTTTAAACTTATAGTTATTGGCAATTAATGACAAAATGGCAGACATAGCCCCAAGCGGAGCAGCAACCATGCACACATTGAAGAGACATAGAGAAATTCTCATGGTAAGAAAGAGATTTTATTTTAAGCAGGCTTATGTACATTCTTTATAGTTTATAAAGACCAGAACAGATTAATTGTTGTTATAAAGTGAATTATATAATTCCAGGATTATCAACAAGAGTTTTCTAAGACTTCAGCACGGGTCAATGCTAGGAGAGAACGTGAGGAATTACTTCGTGGAGGCAGTCCACCTCCTAGTTCTTCAGCTGGTCTTAGCAGAAGAGATCAATATACAAAGGAAGCAAACCACTTGCATAGGTTAGTATTAAAATTAAGAAATTTAATCTAGACAAGATTATTTGTTAGAATAAATAAATGTGTCAGTGTAGTAAATACTAGAACTATTTTTTTTCCAGTTCGCACATATTAGTAGATGAACAGTTAAACATAGCTATGGAAGCTAGAGAGCATCTAACATCTCAACGACAAGTATTCAAAAGGATGCAGACTAGGTTCAATGACATTACTAATAGGTAACTATAATTTCTTTGAAACTTACTAAAGCCTCTAGCCTCTTGACTAATACATATGTTTTTTATTAGATTTCCAATGTTAAACAGTCTGATGTTCAGGATAAATGCCAGGAAACGAAGAGACTCACTCATCATAGGTGGAGTTGTTGGTATTTGCACATTTTTGTTACTGCTATATGCATTCCATTAAGTCTTCTTTAAATTAAACCTTTTGAGTTTAACATTAACTATTTACACACATATTTGTTTTTTAAATAAAGCTGATACAGTGATAATGGCCCAGGTTTGTTATTATTCCACCAATAAAACTGAAAAAATATTGATGACTATCTATAATATATAGTTTACTGCATATTAAAGCAAATTTTGTTTTATCAATTTGTTCATAACTTGTAAATAAATATGTAATAACTGTTTTAATGCACACATTTTGTAATTATGTTATTTCGTTGATATTAATTTAAGAAATACATGTGAGAATACAGAGATGTATACAATATTGTGATTAATTGTTATCATTTAATCTAGAAATTGGAAATACGTTACGTCAAATAAAATGTATATTAAAAGACTTAGATTTATTTTACTGTCTTAACCTATTTGTAAAGAACTTACACTATATTCACATTAATTCGTTGTTTAATTAATTGAGGTATTACATGATAATGAACAAAGGTGTATGTTTTTAAAGTCAAGCAGTACTTTCTATGTCAAAGGAAATGTAATGTGGCACATGCACATTTGTCACTATAAAATTTGGTCAGTATCAATTTAAAAAAAACAAGGCCAGGTTACTATTATAATGTCAATTAAGTCACTCAAAATTCATGGCAAAAATTTACACATCATGCTTGATTCACATAAATTAAGCTTACATTACTAACATCACTGTACTTTAATTACACTGAAAGTGAATTGAAAGTGGTGAAAGGAAAGTGGGCTTTTTAGCCCATTTTTTGACCTTTCAAAATTCATAAATCTCAACTTTCCGCCTCAATATCCTGAATTGTAGGGCTACAATCCCATTTGCTTTCTATACATGTATCTGATAATACACCATGTACACTCTCTTTGTGGAATTTCAAAGTAACATTCTGAGCAAATTTCCTAGAACACATATCACAAACAAATGGTTTCTCTCCTGTGTGTGTTCTAATATGTTTTCTAAGATCCCCTCTTGTAGCAAATCGTTTTGTACAACCAACGACTTTGCACTCATGTATTCTATTATGTACTCGTCTGTGACAGTAAAGCTTTTTTGCTGTTGTAAAAATTTTCGGACAAATCTGTAAAATAATCAAATATTTAACATTACTTCAAATATATCTTTTGAGAGCCATAACATCTACCTATATTATCAACGGGCGTGTTTGCCTAAATGAAAGCAATGTTTTGCAATCATTGTGTCGTGGGTTCAAACCTCACTGGCTCCCATATGTTTCTTATCAATTTATAAATTTTTTTAAAACATATTAAGCCTTGCCTAAAATATTAAATAGTTAGTAGGAATATAAAATTTCTACAGGTCACTAACTACACTCCACATATAAGAAAAACGTGAAGCTTAAATCTAAACAGTCTGTAGCTTTTTAAATCTTCAAAACAAAAATATGTTGACAGTGTATACTTTTTTGCTTGATTGTCTGTAATAAAAAAAAACAATTACATACATCACACATAAAGTCCGGTTCATCTTCAAATTTCATAAGTTTGGATGGCTTAAAGTCTTCTGTGATGGTTACATTCTTTGAAGATTGAGGTTCCTTAAAGAAGCCAAATTGTTATTAATACAATTTTAACAAACATTGATTATAGAGTACAAATAGCAATACAATACAATTCTACTATACTCTTTTAGTACAGTAAGAGTAATATATTTTGCTTAACCTCTTTTTTTAACTTTCCTTTCATAAAACTGAGTATTGTATAATTACATTATAATAAAAAATATTTTATATTTACCTCAAGATTTGGAACCAAAAATTTGGTTTTGCTTTTAATGTCTTGTGGAATATATTCTCCTACAAAACAAACACTGTTATTTAATTCATCATTTCTTTCTTCTTTTATGTGTTCAACTACATTAAATGATACAGTTGGCTCCAATGATGGCTAAAAAAATTATTAATTGTAAAAAACTCTTCATGCCAACCGAGAGAGATAAAAAAAGTTAATAATTCTGCCTCAGCGTGCAAAATGGAAATGTCAATATACATAGGTTTTATATATGTTAAAATTACTAAAGAGTAAAAGGATAACACTTACCTTTGTTTCAAGATATTGGTCAGTAATGATGTTCTTTATCTGTTTATCATTAAGTATAACGGAATCCCGAAATGCAATAGTCAGCTGAATAATATCATAACAATTTTCACATAACTTTTGTGGATATGGATCTAAACTGCTTACCTAAAACAACATAAAAAGTTGCAAGGTGAATAAATAAACAAACGTACATTGAAAACTTCACGATTTTGTGTTTATCATGAAAATAGCTAAATAGTTTTAAAAACTTACTTTTACTGTAGTAACTAAGAAAATATTGTCTGCCAATCTGTCTGACTGAAAAATTTCAATACAACCAGTTGCTTCTAAGCAAAGCCTACATAAAATATCTAAAGCCATTATAGGAAATGAACTTGAAAGAAAGTATTTGGAAAAATGTGTTTATTTCAGGCTTGGTTACTTTAATTTAGAAAAGAACTCGTCATTCTTCTTACTAGTTATAAATTCAAGGTACAAAACCAATTCTAAAGGTAATATTTATAACTGACACAATATTCGAATAGCCCGTTTCGTATTAGTTATAAATGTGCTTGTTCCGTAGCAATTTGCGTTTTAAAAATTAACCACCTAACAACATTAATAATAAAATAACAGTAAGGTTAATGTTTATAAAAATATGTTTTGATTTCAGACACAGATTATTTGTTATTTGGTTTAATACGATGTACGAGTATGTCATAGATAATACAATCGTGAGGATTTTTTTACACAGACTATACCTATGTAATGAAAATTTGACAGATCTCATAGGGATTTAGTATGTAATCCTTAAAAATCGAGTATCGATTTATTACGAAAACAACTTGAAATCGATATTCGATAATGATACCTGAATAAGCAGAGATTTTTTTAATAATTATTGTTTGATTTGTATGGTTTACTGTTATTATTTAAGATACATATAGAATATATTCGATATTTACAACCTATTATTTAATATTACTACTAAGACTACAATACTTTTTTAAAAATTAATATTCCATATTTTGTATAATTTGGCAAAACTACCTAAACGAGTTGAATGCGAATTATAATAAAATGAACTAATTAACTATTAATCGTCGTCTTCTAGATTTTCAGCAGCCGTCTCCACACGTTTGCTTTTCTTATGGATTTGCAGTCTATACAACAGAGCATTCGCAGAGTTACAGGTTTTAGGATAAAAATAAAATGTCACATTATTTAATTTGAACTATGTGTACATCTGTAAGTATGTAGGAATATATATATGAATTAAGAAAATACATAGTTTTCAGTAAAACAATTATTAATATAATTATAATTGTAAAGATTTGTATTTATTTAGGTATTTTATTGAATCTATTGTTCGTTATCGCTACGTTTAAAATGTTTGTTATGATTTTTCTAAATTTCATTTTGTACTCAATTAGCTTGTATTCGAAATTTCGTTTATTTATTTGATATTACATACAGAGTCATTAACTTGTGGTGGTTACGTTAACTACAAAATATTTGATTAAAATTATCCTAAAAGTCCTCTTACGTAAAAGTAACTCTTGGGGATGCGAGCCCCGATATGAACAAGGAACTTGGGTAATAAGGACTCAAGGAGTAAGTACATGGCCATGAGCTAGACTACCTCCATGGGTCAGTTGTAACTTCGTCAAGAACGATAGGTCTCGGGTTCTATGCTTTAAAATAAAGGGAAATTAGAAGCATCTAATAGTTTCTTGAATGAAACGAGATATTTTGCAAACAGCAACTTTTAATGGCTAAGTTAAGCAACTAATAAGATAAACAAAGCCGATTTTATTAACCAGGTAAAGATAATCAGTAATGTTTTGAACCCGTCTCCACGACGACACAATACCTATACTTTGAAAAATCGATAAAGTTTCCCCATTTTCTAATTCCATGAAAGAAAGTTGCCACTTTTCTTTTTGTAGTTGTAATGTTTGATGTATTTTTATAGCCAACACACATCTTTTGATTTTAATTTTTTAAGGGGGCACATATAATAACTTATTTTATTAATTATATACCCTTATAAAAGATGCTATACAAATTTGATTGTTTAACTTGAAGTTATTTCTAAATTACAGTTATTTGAAACTGAAAATCATAATAATTAAAAAATATATATAATATAGATATACAGAAGGTAATGAACTAATCAGTACCGTGCGAAACGCGTAACCAGCCGCCCGCCCTGTGCTTCAGAGCTCATTGGCTGTTATCGTAGTTGATTAGACACAAAAAATATATTTCGGATTAATTGAATAGTTTTCATTCATGTGACGAAACAAAGTTGAGGCGGTACAGGCCCGTAATTTTTTTACCTTAAATACTGTCTATAGTGTACGCGAGTAGTACACATTTAAATTAAACACTTTAACGGTTTAAAACGCAATATATTAGCTAAACTTATGTGAAAATAATTTTTAACTTTCTTTTTCAAATAAGCTTAACTAACGCGATACGTTTTTACCTTTTTAAGTAGAATCGATATACTCGCGATGACTTTAACAATATTTAACCTATTTTTACACGTTTTTTAACTTTATTGTTTACAAGAAGCGAATAAAGTGAGTTATTCGCTACAAACATCGTTGGACATCTTTACGTGACGCAGGAGGCGGCTAGATTATAAAATAGTGCCTGTTCACCTAAAAAGCCTATAACAGTAGTTATTTTTTAATTCATTATTCATATTTGTTTTTAATTATCCGGTAGGAGTCTGCATTAAGTTTAGCGCGAGTGAGTTCCCTGTCAGAAAATTAGTGTCAGTTGGACACGGCATAGAAGAAGGAAGAAGAAGGGATTATGCCTTAAAATCCCAGCTCCTTTCTAAAGTTTCAGTTATTGAAGTGTGACGAAATCCATAAATATAAATGATTTTGTTAATTGAACAAAGACTCTCTCTTAAAGATTGAATGATGGGCGATCGAAGTAGCAAAAAAGGAGCAGCTCCATTCTACGCAGCACCACGTAGAAAGACGTCTGCCGAAATCATCAGCGAAGCGCGAGACGCTATCAGAGGTAAATATAATTGGCGTTACAGTCGCGTACTGTCTATACTAATGTTATAAAGCTTAAGAGTTTGTTTGTTTCAACGCGCTATTCTTAGGAACCACTGGTTCGAAAGTTTGGCGCTGGATACAACAGTTATCGAGGAAACGAAGAAACGGTGGAAAATGTGGAAAAACGGAAATGACTCACCTTTGAGAGTTTCCGTTGCCTACGCTACGAAACGCTTCATGAAACGAAAGAATTATTCTTCTTAAGTAATTAATCTAACAATTTTCGCTACAGTTATTGGCAAAATTGGTTGAAAAAAATGAATTGGGATGCACAAAATTCTCGCAGACGAAGTCGCTGGCACAGCTAGTGTATTATAAAGTTTTATTGAATAAAACTACTTTTGCTAACCTTAGTATAATTTATTCCTCTATGACCACGCCAAAAGCCCTTAAAAACGAACTCTCAACTCGTTAACAGTAATTTTTTTCAGCGAGTACAACAAGATAGAAAGAAGAAGAAAATCTAGACACAGTTTTCATTATGTTTTTTAACACTTTTCTGTTATCTTGGCCCATTTCTCTATAATAAACTAAATTTCAACCTTAAAATTTTTTTTTAAAAATTTTTTTTTTTTTAAAAAAAAAATTTTTAAAAAACCTAAAAAAAAAGGGGGGGGAGGGTTTTTTCCCCCTTTTCAAAAAAATAAATATAAAACCCACAACAAAACCCCCACCCCCACCCCCCCCTTTTTTTTGGGTTTTTTTTTTTTTTTTTTTTTTTTTTTTTTTTTTTTTTTTTTTTTTTTTTTTTTTTTTTTTTTGGGGGGGGGGGGGGGGGGGGGGGGTTTTTTTTTTTTTTTTTTTTTTTTTTTTTTTCGTCGGTCTTCCTTTTTTTTTTTTTTTTTTTTTTTTTTTTTTTTTTTTTTTTTTTTTTTTTTTTTTTTTTTATTAATAAAAAAATAAAATACATATTTATAATATTCAAGTTTTGAGCCCTGCCTGTATCAAATATTTCTGTTACTCAATCCTTTATTCCGTCACTCTACCTTTATCCGTGATGAAAATAATTCATGACAAGAAAACCTTTTGAATCGCTTTATTGTTTGCTATTTAACTTTTTGCCCTGGTAAAGGTGCCTCAGTCACGTAACTTATCAATGACAATTTGACGACACGATTCCGCGACACGAAAATTTCACCCAGAACGTTTGGAGAAACATTACATACACGCACATATAATACGTTTAAAATTTTACGGTAGCACTTTTCCGCAACTTCTTTTAAAAAATATTAATATTAACAACGGATTTTAATAAATGCTCATCTCAGCTTTATCCATTGATCTGTTTAGCCCACGACTTTGTCCGCGTGGCCATATTTTTATTATTAAGATATACCGTCTCGGACATTTTTTAAAATCATTTAAAGAAAATAATTCTTACATAGATTAGCGTTTCGGGTTCTTGGATCGTGTTCGCAGAGCGCGCAACGGTGCGGATCCATCAAGGACGAATGATTTCCCCCGTTTTTTTGTCACATTACCCTTTGTTTCTTAGCTCATATTGGTCGCATCCTGATGTTTTATAGCCTAAAGCCTTCCTCGATATATGGTCCAACCAACACAAAAAATATATCCAGTAGTTTCTGAGACTACCACGATCAAGCAAACAAACAAAATCTACAGCTTTATAATATTAGTATAGATAATTTTACGGTCACTGACCTCTACGATAAGGCAAAAACTTACAAATCTTTTTGATGAATAATTTATTAGTGGCGGTATTCAGATTTTCACGTGGCATACTCAGTCATTAGTATGTAGCTCACCAATTGAACTATACCAGGAATTTGTATAGAATTGTTTACTTGTTATTCGTTGCCTAGGAACTGATGTAACTTTTCTTTGTTAAATTTATGGGTATGATATTTAAAAGCATCAGAAAAACATGTGGAAATAACTAATTAAGTTAAGTTGGTACTACTAAAATTTAGGTAACAAATTAGCAATTTTATACCTAAGTATCTACGTAAGTGATATATACCTCAGCTAAGTTATATAAGTGCATATCATTATATAACTTAAAAATGGCTGGACTTGAACCTTCTTGAATCCTCAGCGTTCCGTGCTGTTGCTCTCACCGGCAGAGCTACCTTGTCTAACACATCATCGTCGATTTTTTTCAACCTATTTTTCCTATTATATCTGTAATAAACACGACCAATGTAATGTCAAACTTAATTAGTTAATAATTAAGCATAAAATTAAATATTTCAGAAATGTCAGGTCCCTCTAGTGGAACAAGCCTAAGCGCTTTACGACCACTAAGTACACGGCGACCCTTCACACCACGAGAACCGCAACGGACACTGTTCCACGAACGAACGAAGAAAAAGGATCCAAGAACGACCACTTTCGAGTAAGGACGAGAATTTCAATAATTACTTTAACGATTTTGAACTTTTGTGTATTTCCGAATTTCTAGAGCCAAAATAGGTCGACGGCAAATCTTGCTTAAATGTTATATGGCTAAGGTATTTTACCTTTACCAACACTTTTCTAATGATTTTATAACTTTTCTGAAATCCACATATTGAACGGGTAGTAATAACGAATTTCCATCGATGCACGAACCCCGAGCATAAAAAACCCAGAAGTTTAATCGCGTTACGGTTTCAGTTCGTGGATATAGAATATCCAAAGCCAAAATACGTCGCATCTTGTTTAAATGAATATCCAGCCATATATGGCTGGGGTATTTTACCTACCATCAAGGAGACCAGAGACCCCATGCTTGTCTTTCGTTGTCCATTATAAAAAACAACAGCATTTGTCTTAGATATTTTCAATCAATCGGACTTTTCAATATTCAATATCAAGTGCTTAAATTGTTGCATGAGAAAATTGTGGTGTTGTTTAATAATTGAATTATGTTTGTAGGTACAATTCCAAATATACAACTTTAGCTGAAGATAACGAGGACCTTGTGTTAGCCCGACCTGGACAAGATGAAGATTTAACATTCTTAAATATTTCGCCACAACTCGCTAAGAACAAAAAAGCTTTGGTATGTCGTTTTTTATGCGCAAGTTTTACATATCCTTGTTGTGCCAGTTACGTCGGGTTTTTACAGTGTAAAGTATTTAGTCAATTTTATATATTTAACATTTTTAATTTTACTTACATTGCTATATTGTATATCGTATATCGTATTATCCTGGTTAATAGAAAACCAAAGTAGGTCGACACTGCATCTTGTTATAGTATCAGTAACATATTAAAAGCAAGGAGGAAATGGGGAATGGGTGAAATGGTCAGCTGATGATGTGGACTGATCACCCGGCCTTCTATGGGTGTCCCCGATAGAAAATAATAATAATAACATATAAAAAAATATGTTACTACTTTATAGCATCTGAAAGGCAGATAAAGAAAAATTTTTAATATATTGCTTAAAAAAACCGTTATAAGTGTTTTATTTAATTTATTACTTGCGTTGTATTTTTTATGTACTATGTAGGAGCTTTTTTGGTTTAAATGTAATAATAAATATTTCTCTTCTCTATAACAGATTCGCAGTAAAGTTGGGCTACTGGAAAAAGCTACCGACTCCTCAAGTTTTGCAAAACTACCTCATCTTAGTGGAAAGAGTAAACCCCTGCATCGTCGTAATACCACGTCTTACAATGATGGTATGTATGTAAAAGTCCCCGAATTTTTTCTATTAAAAATGCCTAACCGATTCGTTTAAAAATGGTTTGAAAACTTTAATGTTTTTCACGTGTTCTTCTATGGCATTATATAAATTAGAACTCGATATAGATTTAAAAAATACGACGCCGCTTCAAGTTTCCCCACGATTGGAATCCAGGACAACTAGCACTAAACACAATGGTAGGCAACACGTTTGTCCATTTAGCAACGAAAGATTCGAAGGAATCGAGGACAACACATTTTAAGCGAATAAAAGAAATATTCTTTACAGCAGCTCACACTGACAACGACCTGGCACAAGCAATATCTATCACCAGACCAATTGGGCAATCTGCTGGAGACGCACCAATCGTCGGGTCATTGGCTGGCAAATGTAAGTTTCAAATGGAAATGCTAAAAGAAAAATAATCTGATACAATACCCATGCCATGATGGGGAGAATAGAGGTACTTTGGATGTGTCGTTTGAGTTTGTCTGTGTATTGATAACTTAAGTGTCTCTTAATTTATAAATTAAAAACCTTTAACCAACATACGCAAGTGTCTCTACTTTCTCTTCTTAGCTTTTCATCCAATGTGTGTTAAGTGTGTTTTTATATTTGGGAAATATGACACGAGCAAGACTCGAATCCACTGGCGACAACTGATAGCGGTTTTTTTAATCTGAAATGAATATTAATTTTGTTTTTACGCTTAAAACATTTTACCGTTTAGATTAACCAATAATATCTCTAGCTCACAGCCCAGACGTAAACAAAAGAGGCCAATACGGTGTAAGCAAGTCTTTGTCTTGCGATGACAGTTTCGGAGCATTGGGCGATGTTGGTGTCAAGCAAATCGCTGTGCAGTTACCAAAAGCTGTCGAGAACTATCATAGGTTAGCAAAGTATTATTTTTAGACTGAGAAATACATGATACAGATATCAGAACATGACCATAAGTGCTATTGCTCTACCAAGTAAGCTGACTTTGTGTCGACCATGACCTTCAAAGCAACTCTCGCGCAAGATACTTAAAAATATATATATGTATATTGTTATTCGAGGTATATAATATTCTAATTAATATATTCTTGTATTTAAATTAATTGTATATAAAAAAGCAGTTAATTTCAAATAACGGCCAACTAACTGGCCACTGTTTAAAAATAAGGCTACAATTTCAGTGTCGTCCCATTCTACTAAAGAGAATGACAGATAGTACAATAAAAAATGTTTTAAGGTGCAACTAAAAATTGCCTAAAGTCTAGTAATACAATACAAAATGCTAGTTCTTAATTATAAATTGTAAAAGTATATGACGCCGTAGCTCTGTTGGTTGGCGGGGTTTTAAATCCATACAAGGACTTTTGTCTTATAAAATTATTAGTTGTGCAGACTTCGTCCGTGTGGAATAGCAAACCTCCTTCTTATCTTTATAAACTATAGCTGTTTCTTACGATGTCGGCCCCGTCCCGTAGTTCAGGCATGTTGATCTTATTAGATAAATAAAATTGTCCGCGACAGTATATTGTGCGTGCAATTTTATTTATTATTAAAAGGGGAATCATCCTTTCATACATATTTTTTGATTTCTTGAACCGTTTTCGCACACGCAGCGGAAGCCATCAAAAATGAATAATTTTCGCTACTTTTCCCACATTTTCCTATCTTCTTCGCAGCGCAATCTAATACAGTCCTTCCTCCATAAATGGTCTATCCAACACAAAAAATAAATTATAGATTCATGCCAGTGGTTCCTGTGACTATCTCGTCTAAACAAACAAACTCTTCAGATTTATAAAATTAGTATAGATTTCTACAAGCTTAAATAAATATAATTGTACAGTGTTAGCACTTTTTTCAGTATGACACTCCTCGAGCTTTCCGAAGCTCTTTCGCAGAAATCTCACGATACCAACCGTACGATGGAACTATTGCAAGCTCTACAGAATAAGATTGAAGCTTGCTCACCGACGGGCAGCTTGAGAGATTTGGTCTTGAGATCTCTATATACACACATAGACGGCGAGGACGAAGTCCTTGTATCCATCGCGAGAGCTATGCTTACGGTGAGATTTTTTAAATAATGTTCCCAGGGATTCGCCAGGGGTCTAATTTGATACCCCGATTGATTATCCTGCTACCACACCCTGGTACCGGAAAATAGATTTTGGTGACAGCTTACGGTGACTTAGCTCTGTATGGTCTATGTAATTAGGTCGGTAATTACCAAACAAAGTACCATGTCACCTTTTATGTGTTGATTTAATCCGCATTATGAGTAATTTCACTCATTTCAGATGCGAGTAACGGGATCACATCTAGCAACCGCTAGCAAACTGGTGTTTAAAATTGCGAGAAACGATAAGAACGACCATTTCTTCAGGAACAGCAATCTTTTGGGTTTGTTTACTATTTAGATATATAGAATTTAGTTAACACTATAAAATGTTTCAAGTAATAAGTTATATGTATATAAGTATTCTTATTAATAAACACCCAAGGTGCCCTAACCTTCGTATCAGTTGAGAATTGTTTGTTTGAGAATTGGTCCTTTAAATAAAAAGGTATGTATTTTATTTCGATAATTTGAAAAAAAAAAACATTGATATCCAATTTCTAAGTGTGAGTACTTATATTTTGTAGATACAACAGTTAGTTATAGATATCTTAAATAAAAATGTGACTTAAAGAAACAGTTCTCTTTGAATATTTTGCGGCAAAATAGATGCATATACACAATTACTTGTACACCAGTTACTATTTGGAAAACGTTTTAGACCTAGTAATAGAAGGATGCGGAAGAGCCGAGCCGCTGTCAGAGAGCGAATGCTGCGTGTACGCAGCGGGTGCGCTGCGCTTTTTGGCTTTGAACCCGGTGCTTTGCGATCTTGCGCATCGGGCTGGGGCATTGCATTTAGCAGCTTTACACCTGAAGATACTTAACAATGCGGTAGTATTATTTAATATTCAATAACTTTAACCCTTGAATATTACATTGTTGGAATTTAATAATGTTTAATGTATATAATGGACTTGAGTCCAAATAACTTATGATATATTTTTTATAATTGAAGAACAATAATGATGTAATTAAAACGTTAATGTTGTTATAACACTATTAATATCATTGATATCCTTACTTCAAATTTTCCCTATGACTTTAATAGTTTGTATAGTTTAAAATTAGTTTATTATTCATAATTTTAATGTCATGTCAATATTACGCCGGAGTTTTACAACCTTTATGTTTTTCCTCCATAATTAGGTATACCAGTAGTTTCGTATTTGAAAAAGTACATTGAAATGTACTTAATACAGCGTATAAATAAGTTGATTTTTAAATAAAACACTTTAACGGTTTAAAACGCGATATATTAGTTAAACTTATTTGAAAATGATTTTTAACTTCGGCCCGACGTTTCGGATGCTTTGCAGCAGCCGTGGTCACGGGGAGACTAAAGATGGAGGATGTCTCAGACGTCAAAGTAAAGAATTGCTACGCTAGCGCCATCTGTTCCGTCGAAGTTGGTATTTGGCGAAACTGGCCGGGTCCTTACAGAATTGACTAACGGTGTCTTCGCGTTTGCTGGTATGCTGTTTATTGGGATCCAGAGTTTTTAATATGGGATCCCAGGTGTTTGATAGTTTGAGGCCGTCCTCCCTATTGAAATTTCGGTGTTTTTTTGATTTCAATTGCTTCGCGTACCAATCTTGGAAAAAATCGACTCTCCTTTGCGAGGATTTTTGGTTGGTCAAAGCGAATGTAGTGATTGGGCCCTTCTGATGAGTGTTGGCATACCGCAGATTTGGAGAGACGTTTATGTTTTATATCCGCGACGTGTTCTTTAATTCTGTTTGAGATGCTACGCTTTGTTTGGCCGATGTAGGATAGGCCACAATCACAATCCAGTCTGTAAACGCCTGCATCTTGTAAAGGGATAGTACACTTGCTTGGTTTCAGGAATTGCTGAATCTTCTTGTGCGGCTTGAAAATTGTGTCAATAGAAGCTCGATTTAGGACTCTGCTAATTCTATCTGTAACTCCCTTCACATATGGTAGGTAGGCGGGCTGACGTTTGACTGTGGGTGGCTTGTTCCTGTTCCTGGGATGCTGCGGAGGGACTCTCAGCTTGTTCTTGCATAGGACCTGCTTGACATGCTGTAACTCCTCATTTAAGTGGGCAGCATCACAGAGACGGCGGGCTCTCTGAAACAAAGATACTCCGACAGAACTAAGTTGGCTGGGGTGGTGATGTGAGTCACCGTTCAAATACCTATCTGTATGGGTTGTTTTTCTAAAGACGGTATGCCCAATATTACCGTGTTCATCACGAATTACTAAAATGTCTAAGAAAGGTAGTGTGTTATTGTCCTCCTGTTCCATTGTAAACTTAATGTTATTGTGAATTGAGTTAAGGTGTGTAAGAAATGCAGATACTTGTGCTTTGGGTAAGATGGTGAAGGTATCATCTACGTATCGCTTGTAAAGCTTAGGTTTAACCGGGGAAGAAGCAAGGGCTCTCTCCTCAAAGTCTTCCATAAAAATGTCAGCAACTAAGGGTGAAACTGGAGAACCCATGGCTACCCCATCTACCTGAACATAGAAATCCCCATTCCAAAGTAGGTACCCGGTTGTCAAGCAATGTTCTAAGATATCCGCATATTCTATAGGCATGTTGTGTTTAATAAGTTTGCTCTTAATAATTTTGATACAATCAGCTATAGGTAAGTTTGTAAAGAGTGATGTGATGTCAATTTTAGGTAACCCGTACATTTTAGGTGGCTTCGGGCAGGCTGTGATGAGATGGCTGTGATGAGATGGCTGTGCCCGAAGCCACCTAAAATGTACGGGTTACCTAAAATTCATAAATTAAACAATCCCTTACGTCCAATAGTTAGTCAAATAGATTCGCCCACTTATAAACTAGCAAAACACTTATCCAGAACACTTGCCCCCCTCAGGGGAAATACAAATGCTCACGTCAGGGATTCGTATCAGTTTGTAGAAACTATTAAAGGTCTAAAGGTAGCGGACAATGAGGTTATGGTAAGCTTTGACATCACATCACTCTTTACAAACTTACCTATCAAATATTTATCTAATAATTTGTATCAAAATTATTAAGAGCAAACTTATTAAACACAACATGCCTATAGAATATGCGGATATCTTAGAACATTGCTTGACAACCGGGTACCTACTTTGGAATGGGGATTTCTATGTTCAGGTAGATGGGGTAGCCATGGGTTCTCCAGTTTCACCCTTAGTTGCTGACATTTTTATGGAAGACTTTGAGGAGAGAGCCCTTGCTTCTTCCCCGGTTAAACCTAAGCTTTACAAGCGATACGTAGATGATACCTTCACCATCTTACCCAAAGCACAAGTATCTGCATTTCTTACACACCTTAACTCAATTCACAATAACATTAAGTTTACAATGGAACAGGAGGACAATAACACACTACCTTTCTTAGACATTTTAGTAATTCGTGATGAACACGGTAATATTGGGCATACCGTCTTTAGAAAAACAACCCATACAGATAGGTATTTGAACGGTGACTCACATCACCACCCCAGCCAACTTAGTTCTGTCGGAGTATCTTTGTTTCAGAGAGCCCGCCGTCTCTGTGATGCTGCCCACTTAAATGAGGAGTTACAGCATGTCAAGCAGGTCCTATGCAAGAACAAGCTGAGAGTCCCTCCGCAGCATCCCAGGAACAGGAACAAGCCACCCACAGTCAAACGTCAGCCCGCCTACCTACCATATGTGAAGGGAGTTACAGATAGAATTAGCAGAGTCCTAAATCGAGCTTCTATTGACACAATTTTCAAGCCGCACAAGAAGATTCAGCAATTCCTGAAACCAAGCAAGTGTACTATCCCTTTACAAGATGCAGGCGTTTACAGACTGGATTGTGATTGTGGCCTATCCTACATCGGCCAAACAAAGCGTAGCATCTCAAACAGAATTAAAGAACACGTCGCGGATATAAAACATAAACGTCTCTCCAAATCTGCGGTATGCCAACACTCATCAGAAGGGCCCAATCACTACATTCGCTTTGACCAACCAAAAATCCTCGCAAAGGAGAGTCGATTTTTTCCAAGATTGGTACGCGAAGCAATTGAAATCAAAAAACACCGAAATTTCAATAGGGAGGACGGCCTCAAACTATCAAACACCTGGGATCCCATATTAAAAACTCTGGATCCCAATAAACAGCATACCAGCAAACGCGAAGACACCGTTAGTCAATTCTGTAAGGACCCGGCCAGTTTCGCCAAATACCAACTTCGACGGAACAGATGGCGCTAGCGTAGCAATTCTTTACTTTGACGTCTGAGACATCCTCCATCTTTAGTCTCCCCGTGACCACGGCTGCTGCAAAGCATCCGAAACGTCGGGCCGAAGTTAAAAATCATTTTCAAATAAGTTTAACTAATATATCGCGTTTTAAACCGTTAAAGTGTTTTATTTAAATGTGTACTACTCGCGTAAACTATAGACAGTATTTAAGTTGATTTTTATAGTTATTTACACAATTTGTGCAGAAGAGGTTTTATAAACTGGAAAAAACGTTTGGGACACAAACCCATAAATATTATACAGTTCTACCAAAACTTTTGAGTGCAGTATTTCTCGTTATAGAAGACAGAAAGACCTAGACAAATGTCTGAGCAAGCGATACACGCCCTGTACCAAGTAACGGGCGCAATGAGAAATCTCGCCAACTCAAGAGAATATTCACCGTCCTTTGTTACGAGTGCGGCCATCGCCGAACTATTATCTGCTCTGCAACTACACACGGATCGAGATGTCCTTACGAACGTGGCTAGGTGTCTTAGGTATGCTTAAACCATTTTTAATTAAATTTACAATAATGTTCAGGACATTAAGCGGGTTGATATCGAAATTTACAGTAACAATCTTCCTGAATACTGTGTATAGTCTTCGCGAGTAGTAACTATCAAATAAACTTGTTTGTAAACGACCCGACATTTCGCATTCTTTGCTGCACCCGTGGTTACAGGGAGACTGATGACGTTTGATAGGGAAGCAATAAAACGTTTTGGTTGAGCACGGTAGAAGAAGTAAGAGTATATAAAACTGATCTTCATATTTATTTATTCTCCTCATTAAAAATACTATATAGTATAATATAAGTACGATATAATCAACAGTGTACTATCTGCGGAGGAAGCGTGTTGCTCGTGGCTTTGCGCCTGTGCGTGGAGCGCACACGCATTAATTAGTGCCCTCGCTGCGTGTGCGTCCAGAGCTCCACTAGCCGTGCGTCTAACATACACCCTTGGCAACATGGCGGCCGCTGATGAGCAAGCTTCTATCAATGTAAGACTTAATCTGTCATGTTTTCATATTCCCTAATGTCCCTAGGGTTTAGGGCTAGGGCTAGATATATGATAGAGACACTAGGGCAAGCCTATGTCGTGGGTGATCGTCTCTCTCAGGTTACATACAATCAATATCTTAGTGCTAACTTATGTATACTTCTAATTAGTAACTATGAGATGTATGTGTCTCTTAGTATATTAATGAAGTGAATGGAATGTTACGTATGTATGTTGATAGATATGTAATAGGGAACTTACTTAGCTTATCTTATATTTTCACTGTTTGACAATTTGCTAAGTTTATTGTAGAGATGATATCCGCTGATATTAAAGAACCACCGTTCAAATATATCGTTTATTTGTAGTGTCATTTTAAAGCCTTTGTGTTAAAAACTAAGAATCGAACACAAGTACTAAGGAAATATACATTTCTGACTGAAAGCGTGCCTGTGTCAATGTGCAGTTGTGTTGTAAAAAATAATATACATTTTTTTTCTGTATCAACGAATATTTCTTGAACATCCCTATTGTATAAATCAATACAAATTGGGATTATATTCTATATATTTCGAATAATATATACTTCTTGAAGCCTCTTTTGCTTGATTTAATATCATACAAATTGCAGATTTATAATGAAGAGAACAGCTTAGATGTATTACTTACTATATTGGAGTCTTACACGAAACGTACAAATGGCCACGGACGAGATCTCAATTCTGACCCAGATTTAAATTTAGTTGGTAAGTAATAAAATAACAATTGATTAGATTTTTAAATGCAAATGAAACCAAATTTGCACACTAGTATTATATCCAATACTATCCGGAATTACCCGTATTGCGTATTTATTATAATGTCTGAAGATAAATACTAGGCAATTATCTATACTAATATTAAAGCTGAAGAATTTGTTTGTTTGTCTTTATGTTTGAACGCGCTAATCTCAGGAACTACTTGTCGGAATTGAAAATATCTTTTAAGATTAACTTGCAAGGACGACGGGACCCGAGCGATGTCGTTGATTGTGGGCAATGTTTATGCTCAAAATAACTATTCAGGTAGTGATAGATATGTGGTCGGATCAAAATAATTAATTTAATACAAGTTTTGATTCTAGGTCCAAAGAAAGAATAGGATTGCAAAACTTTTTCTGTTATACTATGAACTTTAGCTGTTCCCTCGAGTTTTAGTAAAAAAAAAAAAAAACATTCGGTTTTTGTGCTGTTTTGTATTTGTTTGTCTCCACAATCGACCTGATCCAGAAAAATAAAATTTTTTAAACGCAATAAATATACAAGTGTCTAATATTTCTAATATAACATTGTTTTTAGGATCTGATCTTGAAGGTTCCGATGGTTCTAATGAGGACGTTCTAGTTAAGGTATTCAATTCAAACGAAGTTTGTCTTTCGCTTTGAATTCCTTACAAGAGCGCCCATTATTTTCCTACTTCTAGACTGTTCGGGTGATCGCCAACCTATGTCTCTCTGAAGTTGTGGGGAAACGTATAGCCTCATCCCACGGAGAGCGATCGATCCGAGCTCTACTTTCCTGCTTAGAAGTTGCTGAACAGTATAACCAGGTTAGGTCAAAGAAATCTTCTTGTATTTGTAGTTCTTGAAAAAATACATGATAGAAAAAAAATAATGCCTCGTTAGTGCTACAGGTTTTGAATTTTGGTTGGCAAGAACAAGTTGTAATGGCAACTGGCCGTACCTTGAGGTCGTTAAGCCGTAGGTTCCAGTTGTCATCACTAACTATGTGTAAGGCTCGCATTACAGCTCGAGGGCTAGAGGGGTAGGTTTCACTTAAACCTTTTCTTCTATAACCAGAAGTGAGACTCTGTAAGAAAACTGATCTAAGCAGATACTTTTTTCCAGCTCATAACTGAGAAGGAACAATCTCACTATAACAGACATCACGAGTTAGCAATGGCTTCGCTAGCCACTCTCAACAATGTAACGTTCTACTTGGAACCGCCGCCTTCTCCACGACAGATAGATGATACACTTGATCTACTCTGTAAAGGTACAAACGAATTATTGATATATTCTTATTTATGGTATAGACACTAGTGAATGTATGCCTCATTTTTGAAATAAACGATAGTCTCTCTATTTCTTAAAAAAAAATGGAAATTGCTTGAAGAATATGTTTCTCTTATTTTTATATCAAGCTATCACCCCTTTATTTCAAATAAAAATACTCTTCAAATTTGCTATCAGCTACCTGTCGATGGACAAGGCAAGAAGGGATGGCAGCGTGCGAAGCCCTACGCACCCTTGGCAATCTGTCTCGTTCGGCTCGTGCCTCCCAGATCCTAGTGCTGGAAGGGGCTCTGGATTTTTTACCTCGCTTCTCTACGCACCGTGAGAAAGACTAATCAAATAAGATTTTTATACCTGCAGACGTACTGATTAAAATAATAAACTGTAAAGAAATGAAAACTTCTGTTCTTCATAAATGACAAATGATAAACCGCGTAACTCATTCAAAATTATATTGGATGTAATCACTACTAATTATATTATAAATGCGAAAGTTACTCTGTCTGTCTGTCCAGCTTTCACGCCGAAAGTACTGAACCGATCTAAATGAAATTTGGTACACAGAGCAGATTCTAGAGCCTGAGAAAGGACATAGGCTACTTTTTAATGCCACAAAAGGGAATGTTAAGGGTTTAAAAGGGGTATGAAATTTTGTATGGAAATTGGTGATTTTTGAAGCTAGAACTATGAAACTTTCTTCTTTAACTTTGTGGGAATGGAAGTGAGAGTAGGATTGAGTGTATTAGTGAGAATGGGAGTAGGAGTGATGTGAAGTGGGAGTTGGGAGTGTTGCGGCAAAGTAGTACTTACAATACAGATTGGCTGCCTTGAATGCGCCTTTTTCGATGACATGCATTGTAAAACCTTTTGCTGTACGAAAAAAAGGTACTAAGGGGTTGAATGAGGTATGAAAAGTTGTGTGGATGTATCGTTATTAATTTAACTTACAAATAATATAAATGAGAAAGTAACTATAAAACTCAAATAAGCATATTCGAATACACTATACCATGGATATACTTATTATGAATACCTTAATAACCTCTTTGCAGTAGAACACTGTATTTGAACATGTGTCTTATTAAATTCATAAAATAAATAAACAGCCTAAATAATTGAAAGATTCTACCCAAAGTTACTATTCCCCGTGGAAGAAGTCGCGGGCACAGGTAGTAATTATTAAGATGCGAAAACAGAATCATAATCTATTTCATCCATGGAACATGTATCTTAAAATTGGAGTGAAATTTTCCCCTTTTCATTTGGGGGAAGACATACATCAATATCTATTTGACGTGGCCTGCCAGGGAAATCATCCTTTCTTGCCCTGAACCCTGAAAAACATTTCACTTGAGCAGAGTGTTACCGTTAGGTTGGGTAAGGGTAGTAAAAACAAATTACTTAAATTGCGTTTCATACCGTTAAAAGTGTTATTTTTAACAGACGAAGCGGATGTTCGTTACGCTGCTGCAGGCTTGCTGGTAAATGTATGCGGCGCGGGATGCGGAATAGACGAAGGGGTCGCTGTGGCCGCATCCGCTTTAAACGCCGCCGCAGAAATAGCGGACGCACCTACAGCCGCGTTGCTCGCGCGCGCACTCTGGAATGCGCACGCGCACAAACCTCTTCACCCCGAACATGTAAAGGAAGCGACAGATGCGCTTGCTTCTTTTATAGGTACCCAAATTTACATGACACATGACACACAGGCAACAACATATTTTATTTAAAAAATATATATATTCAAATCAAAATTTTCACTTGAAATAAAAACTTAATATAAATTACAACTATTCACAAACCTTATTGTTTTATGCAATAGTTCAACAAAATAATAAGTAAAATTAAGATGGATCTGTATGAATTATCGAATCAATGCCAGGGTAGAATCGACTGTACTGGTCAAGTGCGTAGGGGCAGGCGAAACATCATTGAAAATTAAGATTTTAATTTAAGAAGTCGGATAACATACCACTAAAACACGACTTCCTGTGACAGAAGAGAGAAAAAAATAATAATATCACCCATGTCACCTATGTGTAAAAACCAGGGCAAATACCTTGACACAGAGAACGAAATATGTAGATCTTTTCGTTGTGTACTAAATTTAAATAATATTTATTACACGTTAATAAACGATGTCTCATGTTACATTTTGCAGATGACGACTCAATATTTAGTGCATGCGAAGCGCATAAAGTGTCAAACAATATGACTAAGCAACATGTAAGTGTTATACTAGCGACTTTGTAAACTACATATTAAAATCACCAGCCCATTCATATGTCCCACAGCTGGGACAAAGCTAGAGCGCATAATTTACTACTTTTACCAAATGCATTTTAGTATATGTCGTCGAACTTGTAACTTACCTATTTCTCGATGTTTTTGCTTACAATCATGCTCAAAAATGTATAGGTACTCTTATATTTAGAAGTACGACTGATTCTAACACGAATAGACTAACACATAGAGCACAATTACAAAATGTAAAAACATATTGTCAACCTATCTTTAAATATGTCCAAGTTTCAGTTACATTTTTAACTAACTAGATGCGCCCGCGACTTCGACCATGCAAAATAGTTATATAAGGTATCTTTATTTATTTTTGCAAGCCTCCTCAGGTTTATAAATTATAGCTTAGCACGACGTCTTCCGAGTTAATGTTAAAAGATAGAAATATACTGTCGTGGATAGTTTTTTAACTTAAACTGTTTGCTCAGCGCGCGATGTGGAAGCCTTCAAAGATCAATAATTTCTCCTTTCTTTCCACATTTCCCCCTTTTATCATCGTTGGATCGACCATCGATCCAACACAAATAGATTTAATAAATGCGAACCATTACTTTTTGAGATTAACGGGTTCAAACAAAGAAATAAACTCTTCAGCTTTATAACACTAGTATAGTTATCCGTAACATTATTTTTGTACAGGTAAAATTCGCCATAGAGCAAGAGAGTGTTGAAGACTTAGACCAACCTTTTCCAGCGAAATTAATTAAGCCTGGTTTGCAAGTGAACGATGATTTGCCCTCCGATGACGATGTCGATGTGACTGGGTATTTATTTGTCTCATTGGTTTATTAAGAAATAGTTTTGTATGCATTATACACTTATTTATATAAAACTTAGCTTCGTAGTATAATAATACCATTTTATAATACACATAATAATAATATATTATATCTTTTAAATGGAACACTTTAATCGTTTTAAACGCGAACATATATTAGTTAAACTTATTTGAAACTATTTTAACGACGGCCCGACGTTTCGCATCCTTTGTAGCAGCCTTGGTTACAGGGAGACAGAAGAGGTATTGTGTTTTATTTAAATTTGTACTGCACGCGTAAACTACAGACAGTATTTTATATTATTATATTACTAAGCAAAGGTAATGTCTGAATTGATGCGTTCGGTTTCGGCCTGTGAATTTCTGAGTGTCCGAGGAGAAATAGATCGACAGCGCATTTTAATTATTTTGTATTTCACCCACCATTTAGTAAACATACTTCTATTTCATAGGACATAAGTCTGTCAAAAAAGTGTTCTGTAAAGATAAAGCCGCTGCAAGGCATTCGGTATACTTACAGATATTCAGGAGAAGACTTGGGCTTCGAAGATGGTGAAGTAGAAGAGTGTGACTGCGATCCGTGCAGACGTCTAGCCGCTTGGGAGGAATTAGTGGGAGTGGCGATACCGCTTCTAGAAAAGTTACGGCCAGCTCGAGCCGATGCTTCCGTTGGTACCGACTAGATGGCGTTATGTACAAATGTTAATGTATACGAGAAATAAATTAATCAGATTATTTTTGGGTGTTATTTATTTAGTCTTGTTAGATTTAAAAACTCCATGTAACAAACATCCAAGTACAAAACTTCTCACTTAAATTCCTACTGTAAATAATTCCAGCATTGTTTAAATTTTTTAACTATTCGCATAAAGTAAATAAAATCCCTAAATAAATTTTACAAGAAGTCTATGATAATTCATAAGTATACGCAGTTAATTACATGAATAAGTGATTTTTGACTTCTGATTTTTAATACGAGCGGGACAAAAACTCACGAATGTCGAACAAAGCATAGTCTTATTTTTTCGTCATATAATATTTTCTGTATGCTTAGTATAAATTTCAAAATGACAGTACTTAGTAGTTGAAACTTAATATTTTAAGATACACACACAGGCGTCGAACGCATGACTATCAACAACCGAGTATGTTTGTTGGTGAGTAGGTACCTATACTTGCTACCAGCGAGTCATAAAAATCGTATTACTATATATTATGTAGTACTTCAATGATACATCCGTTCTTAGACAGTGAACATAGTTATTTGGTGTAAATGTTATTAAACACATTAGTGTTGATAACCAGTTAATTCCATAACGTTTAATTGTATGACTTCGTGTGCAATGTCATATTTTGAACTTAATCTTGGTCAACCTTGAGCCTTCTACCGAAGTGAGGCCAGCCGCTTCGACTCAAATTATCCGCGAAATAATATCAGTTTCTTTTATAAAGTGATACATTTCATACTAGGTAATTTAATTTGGAGTGGATTTATCATTTGCTATGTAAGTAGTTACGATGTTATTGCTTCTTATACGTGCACATCATAAGGCAGTTGGTAACATAAAAGAACGAGTTATAGACAAATCAAACTAAATCGTATTATTTGTTCTTTAAAGTTTTGGTGATTACTTCTGATATTTGTTTACTTGTTTTTACGCAAATGTATGTAGTTCCTTACATATTGCATAGATTTGAATTCTGCCATTTTTTTCGGTCCAAAACTTTAAAACTGCGATTGTTTCATATGTGCTTTACTACAAGTAATTAATCAGATCTCTATGTTCTTTCCAAAAACTTTTATGATGTTTCTCGAGATTCGAACCAAAGATTTGCGCTTCCTACAAATGCTTGGCTGCAAAATGGCTGCGGATCATATACAAAATCTAAGCTTATAATATTGTCTATAATTTGTAAGCGGAACACGATGGTCGTTTATTCGACTACGCAACTTCCACAATGACGATACATCAGGAATTAGGCTTCATTTCGAACCCGCCTATATATATAGGATGTTTTATTTGGGTTTAAAAAAGGAGCTTAGAATTTCTGAAACCAAATAGAATGCAAATGAAGTATGTGTACATTTTTCTTGATATTTTCCTAATAGGGTAACTTTTTTCGTGTCATCAAATCGACCTGTAGCTTAACATAAAAACTATATGTGACTATACACGACTGGTAAGTTTGGACCCATTTACTTACTACATTCGCGTAGATATTTTAGGTAAATTACCTTACTTTGTTTTTTCTTTTATCATTTAAATTTGAACACGCTATATCTACGCACAGAGCACTTTATTATAAGATCCTCCACACACATTACAACACAATACGCTGTACTGTCCAAGTAATCTTTCAAAATATCTCCATTATTAGTCACGAAAGTTAATATTTCGCATAGTTTACATATCTATGCTACAGATATTGTGCAAATTAATGGTAACAATTATTTTAATTACACCGTAAGATATAAATTAAAAATGCAATTAACAGTACTCATTTGACAATATCAAGAATTCCTCTAATTGTTCTAATGCAAAACTTATAAAAATCGTTACTTAATTACTTCAAAACTTTTATTCTCGTTTCTAGTGTCAATATGGAAAGACGAACGTTATGTGTGTTCTTCGTTGTAACTTTACTGGTAAACGGCTTTTGCCTACCTGCGCATAGATCAAGAAGGCAGGATAGTTCATCGGTAAGTACTTTTGTTTTTAACACAGGGGAGAAGACAATACACAATACTCGAGCTAATATAAGTATTGTGTTTAAAATTTGTATATAATAGCATTATATAAATTAAAAATCGAATTTAGATGGAAAAAGATTACGACGTTCACGTTTACGGCATCCACAACGTTCAGCGATGACACAGTATCTCAATTGGTTACAGCACAGAACGTTGTTGATACCGATTGAAGTGCTACTTGCATACATTTTTGTCACATAGAGTATTGTACACATACTACAATACTCAAGAAGAAAACTCTGTAAACACAATTATACTTTATTTTTTCTTTTGGTTTTACATCACGGTGTTGCATGACAGAGAGACATAATTTCAAGATTTTTATTTGCTTAGTCATAAGATGAGTATATCAAAGTTTAATATGAATTAGAATTGTTAGACATTGACTTATGAAAAGTGTTATGCCTCGTTGGAAACGAACCCATGACTTCTGGGCCGACGAGCCCGTTAAATATATATATTGTATCCAACAATATTCTTTTATGGTTATATAGTACATGACTGAAATCTTGATTCCCCTATATGCTGTATTGGGCTTCAGCTACTCGCATAAACTCAAAAAATCTTTTATTTTTAGATAGAAACGACGACGTCTAGTTCTACAGTCACAGAAGACGTTTCACTTACAGATACTAAAGATAACGCAAGCCCGCAATCAATTCCTATCGATCCTAGTGATGACGATGATGATGATGATGATGATATTCCTCCTTCACCGGTCCCATCTAGCGGAGGAAGTAATATATTCAGCCTGTTAAACGTACTCGGCGCTATTCTTCCTGGATCGAGTAGCTCTAGTGTAAGTGTTTCTTTTAAAATATTATAAAACACGAATTCATAATATATGCTTTGTTTGCTTTATTCTAAGAAATAATTGTAAGTACCTTTTATTTAATAATTTATTCAGTTATATTTTTTGTTACTGCCAGTGTTAAATTAAAAAAAAAATATATTCTCCTTACCATAGACTTGCATGCATGTTCTGTAATATTTTTTTAAGATAATACGTAAAAATCTATTCGTTAATAGTTTATGAACAAGATGTATTACGTAATAACTTTATTCAATGCTACGTATGTAGTAAGGATCAGCTGTTTAAAACTTTCCTAGGTCAAAATTACATTCGAACTTATTATAATCTTATGCCTGCCCTTGACTCTTGTTTTTCATCCTTGTGTAGTCAAATTATTGTTCCGTGTTCATTGCACCATTATATATTTTTAAGTATAAAATTCCACCACCTCGACTTTCCTTAACATTCCTTACCTCGTATTCTATAGAACTCACTTGCCCGTACGAGAATATGTATTAATAATCATGTTCTTAGTAGTATTCACCAAAATATTCACATCGCACCGCTGATTTTTTCCACATTCCACCCAAAATAGATTTTATTTAGAAAAATTTTAAATACACGTCGTGTATTTAAAAAAGGCGATATATTTTGGTAAAACTTGTTTGAAAATTATTTTTAACGACGGCCCGACGTTTCGGATGCTTTGCAGCAGCCGTGGTCACGTGGTGGAGACTATCAAATAAGTTTAACTAATATATATCGCGTTTTAAACCGTTACAGTGTTTTATTTAAATTTGTACTACTCGCGTAAACCACAGACAGTATTTAACTTGTATTTATATACACGTTTTGAAACCGCACCTGCACGAGTTTGGGTAAACACAAATGGATGGATGTTTAACAGTTGGCAGTTAGCACACGGATGCATGGATAAGTACACTTGCACTTTATAGTTTCACTCTATTTTTCTTTAAATAACATAACTAAATAATGAATGTAAAAGGAGATTGCCATTACGAGGACAAGTAATTTTTATATTTGTTTGACGCCAATACTCAAATAACTGCCTGTATTCAATAATAATAATTGAAATTAATATACTTTTTTTTTTTTTTTTTTTGACAATAATTTTATTGTTGTATTGATTGTACTTTTATTGTTATTGAAACACTGAAAAAAGTTTGATATCCGCTTTCTACATGAGATAGTATTGGAAAACGATAATTCTTGATTTAGTACCATTACTAATATACTATAATTGACTCTCTAATTCATGGATGTTTTCATGTTAACTGAGTCTTAATAGTTTCAGCCGCTTCTACAGAACGCCATTGGCAATTTATTGAAGCGACTACCGCCACGTATTTCTAGACGACAAGACATGGATTTCAATATAAAACCACCGACGTTACAAAGACAAGAAGATGATGAAAAAGATTCAAATAGCGAAACATCTGAATCCAACGAAGAGAGCGATGAAAAGAATTCAAATCAAGAGCTAGATTCGGAAATGAGTTCAGATGACGACGATTATGATGAACCGGAGGGTGATGGACAGGGTGGCTTATTGGGGTTACTGGCTGGTCTAAGTGGTGGAGTAAGTAATAACTGCTATAAAGCATTTCTAATCAAAGCTTTCTGTCACGATTAGTAAATATTTAACAAACGAACTCATAACGTGTTGTTGCTCTGCTAAGTAAGCTAGTGTATGCGTCAGCTAAGATCCCATTTTCCCTACGTGGGGCATGGGGCGAACACATTTCTGTTGTTTCAATGTTAATCTATTGTTTCCCCGGGTTTAAACCCACGACCTCTCAATCTTAAAGCAATGCTAGGCAAGATGTTTAACCATTAAGCTATAGAAGAGGTCCTTACGTCTTTGTAAATCTGATTTCTCAACCCTTTATAAATCCACCTCTGGCGCAGTCATTTCAATATGTTTATATGCTTTTTTCATACAAGCCCTCACTTACATATGATTATGTACACTTACATATGATGTGTTACGTCAAGTACTGAAGATTCCTTTATACTTTGTATTCATCAAACTAAAGTAAAAATATTTGATTATTCCCATTTTGCAGGAGGACGGTCAATCTGACTTGGGTTCCCTTCTCGCAACAGTCAGTGGTATTATAGCAAACTTAAGTGTAAGTATTACGAACTACCGTATATTCATTAAAATTTTAATAGTGAAAATCACTAAATAAAGTCGTTGTTATGTTATAAAACATGCGACATATAACAATCTAGATGACAAATAGCCTGCTACAAATCATCTGAATATTAGATAGTGTCTTTAAATGTTTATTATAAGAAATAATTAATAACATAAAGTCGTATTACATCTTAATACCAATTTAACCGCCATTTTGTACAAGAGAGACTAGACAAGAAGCTAGGTGACATAGACCACTACAGATCTCATTAAATGTTTTTTATTTATTTATTTATACTTTTTCACAGCACACGCACACAATTACAATTAACTAAAAATAATAATAATATCTATAAAGTATGGAGTGTAACGGGCGGCCTTATCGCTATTAAGCGATCTCTTCCAGGCGACCCTTCTTGGTTTTGTCTATACTAATATTATAAAGCTGAAGAGTTTTATAAGACGGTAAAAAAATCATATAAATATTAATTTTGCAAGCAATAAAAAAATGTTTGCCGAATAAGCTAATTGTTAATTTATTATTTGTTTCAGGGTGATGGAATCGATCTAAACAGCTTGATAGCATCTGGGATCGGTTTATTTGTTGGAATATTGGTACGTTGCACTATACTCTTTCCATTACTAACTATTATATATGATTGTTATATTGTATATGATTAATAAAATAAACAGCTCACAGGCTGTATTATAATTCTTTATATTAACCCATCATACTTTTCAGTCTGAAGGAAATGAAAACCCTGGATCAGTTATAGCCAGTTATTTTCTAACATCTTTAGATACCATTACTGGAGGCGGCGCGGTATGTAAGTTGTTAATTTAATTCAGTTTAATGTTGGGATTTTATTAATTTGAATCAATTAAAAATTGCAGACAAACAATGGAGCATTTTTCGGAAACCTACTATCTAAATTAGCTTTTGGAACCAGTGCGGTAAGCTATTAGTTGATTGCATATTATACCTGGCTTGTATTGTAATAACTTGTAGCTTATGTAATTAGTACTAATTAACTGTACATGCAATAGTCTGTAGATGTGGTTTAACTAAATCAAAGAGTTCTTTAAAAGCTTTCTCTACTTTTAGGTGGAAGGTCAGGAATCCAATTCAGATGAAACTGGAGATCAACCAGAAATGAAGGATTCAGCTGGATTCTTCTCGAGTTTATTGATGGCGCTTTTAGGAAACATGTCTAAAACCAGTTCCAGTGGTTCTCATCCTTAGACTTTAAAAACTATCGTGGAGTCTTCTTACCGAAAATCATTATTGAATGAAAATAAGAAAACCAAAAATTGTGTTTTATTGTTGTTTATAAACTGCCCAACCTTTTTAAAACAATATGAAGATGTATTGAGTTGCGGACCTTTTTCCACTGTGGGTTAAACAGACATTTTTATATTTCAGAGTGAGCTTTCATCAGACGCAAATGCGCCGTCTCCTTTCTGGACGCTGAAATTGGATATTCTACGTGCGCTGGTACAGTTTACGACAAGCATGTTGGGCTTGGCTTCGTCTAGCGTCTTCCAGTTCAGTGGATAATGTGCTTCGTAATAAAAAACTGTTTTAATTACCGTTTTTATTTTATAACCATTTCTCTGACGCGTGTGATAAACACAGCTCATTTATCTGAAAAAAAAGTCATTTAAGTCCCCTAGGATTCACAATCTAATTTCCAACAAAGAACAATTGAATACATCTTTTAAAAAACATAAGAGATTTCAGACATTCATCACAATTTCTTAGGATTCGTGTCCTATATATATATTTTAAATATATATTTAAATAAAAACTGTTGTAAATCGTCAGCTAGCCTTAGCAAACAAATGTAGAAATCAATATGTAATGTCCATAATTAGATTTAAATTCTCTGTTGTCTTGCATCTTTTTCAGCAGTAAGTAGGATAAATATAAGAATTTTAATGTTATTATTTTTTATATAAAATCATCTGTTGGTATAGCATAATAAATAAATATCCCTTACGTTAACGTTTGGAGGAGTGGCGAGAACATAACAAACAGCGTCAGCGATATCTTTCGGCTCCAACATTTGTATATCTTTGTCTTGGGCGTCTACCATGTTCGTTCTGACTAAGCCTGGAGATAGACTCTGAAATGTTTCTATTTGAAATTTTAGAAATCCTAGTATATGTATCGAAATTAAATTTATTAAGCAAGGGCCATCTGGCACATGTAGATAAATTATTATAAAGCAAAAGATTATTTTAAAACACTACTTAAGGTAGATAAATCGTCATGGAACTTGTCTCTTTAAAAAAACATAATGTTAAGTTAAGTGGTAGAATACTTTCATATTATATTTATATACACATACAGTCACTTTGATGTAGCTGTTGGAATGAGCTAGTTCATTGAGTAGAGCCCTCGTGAAGATAGTTACTGCATTTTTGCTCGCCGAATACACGTTAAATTTGGGAGACGATGGTACGTAGTGACCGGCTAAGCTAAAATATACACAATATGTTTCATAAACAACAAAACAAAAACATTTCAATCGTCCGAATTCTCTAACCTTCTCTAATTCTCTTCTTTCTTTTCTGTTCTCAATAATTGCTCCGATTGTAACTTATTAGTAAAAAGAAGCCAACTAATATCAAATGCTGAATTAATAACAATAAAAAAATATATTTTAGAAATAATTTTAAAAACTTTCCACAGTTTTGATTGAATTTTACTGTTTATAATAATTGAAATATAGAAATTAAAAGAAAATCGACTCGGGCAGGACTTGAACCGGCGTCGTCAGCGTTCCGTGCTGTTGCTCTACCAATTGAGCCGAGTCCTACACTTCATGGTCGATTTTTTACAACTTATTGATACATGCAACCTTCTATTAAAAAGTAACTCGAATCAAACCACCATGAAAAATTTAATTACGTTATTATCTAGAATTTTATGGAGGTGATCAGATCATCAGAGCAGAAAAAATGTAATGGAACAAGGTAAACCCTTCATCGAATAATGTATTACACAATCTATTATACACGGAACGTTAACGATGCCGATTCAAGTCCTGCCCGAGTCGAATTTTTTTTTCAATTTATTTTCGATTTTAAAATTAAGAGATATAAAGTCTCACCTGTTTATGTTAATAATATGCCCGTTGAATTTATGCTTCTTCATAGACGCTACAGCTTGTTTCGTGCATAATATAACGCCTAATAAATTAATGTTTATAATGGACACGAGCTCTTCGCAACTTAGAGGAGAATCGCCAACGTCTTAAAAAAAATTGTCGCATTAAAAATGCAACCTTTAAATACAACACTATTATGTCTTTCGCGACCAAAACTATAATTTCCCGGGTATTTGAACCCAGGATTCTCACGCTTAACATTATGCTACGTAACACGTTTAATAACAGCATCGCACACTTTAACTGTTTAAAACGCGATAAATATTAATTAAATTTATTTGGAAATTATTTTAACTGTGGCCCCACGTTTCGGATCCTTCGCAGCAGCCGTGGTCACGGGGAGACATCCGTAAGAGACGAAGTATTTTACTTAGATGTGTACTACTGGCGTAAACGACAGACAGTATTTAATGAATATTTTAAATCGATAAATGATATAATAATAAATACCAAAAATAATGTATTTAAACGTTGCTCACAAAAACAAAAACTATGAACTAATATAAACTTAATAAGTAAGCTTATATATATTATACAAAATATACTAGGCTAAAACAGGAGCCACTCAGCATAATGTTAGGAATACAATTGTGTTGCAACATTGATTTTCTGTGGCCCCCGGCGCCACCACTTCTGGAGAAACAATATGCGTTTAAGTTTTACTCTTTACTTGATATGTGTTAAGCGTGAGAATTCTGGGTTCGAATCCCGGAGAAAACAAAAGATTTATTCGAGAAACACAGAGGTCTGATCAATTGCTTGTCTGGTCTTGCCTGCAGCTTATTAACATAATAGATAATAAGGAAAGGGTTTCTTGTTTTTTCTTAATAAAAATTACCTACCAGTTATCTGTCCCAGATGCAAAACACCAGCGTTGTTAATCAATATGCTTACACCACCGAACTTCTCCTCAATTATCGGGAATGGGGCTAAGTTTTTTTTAGTTTTCCCACCACCGCATTGGGGGGGTTTTTTTCCCCCCCCCCCTTTTTTTGGTTTTTTTTTTTTTTTTTTTTTTTTTGTTTTTTTGTTTTTTTTTTTTTTTTTTTTTTTGGGGTTTTGGTTTTTTTTTTTTTTTTTTAATTTTTTCCCCCCTTTTCTCCCTTTTTTTTTTTTTTTTTTTTTTTTTTTTTTTTTTTTTTTTTTTTTTTTTTTTTTTTTTTTTTTTTTTTTTTTTTTTTTTTTTTTTTTTTTTTTTCTTTTTTTTTTTTTTTTTTTTTTTTTTCCCCCCCCCCCCTTTTATTATATTTTTGTTATATGGACGCACCCTTAGCAAATCGCAAGTAAGCAGCTGCCCCGTGTACTATTGCAACATCGTTCACACGAGGCAAGAATGCAACGTTGACGGAAAGAGGTAGCGACGAACTCAAAGGAGGCCGGCGCCATCCGACACTGCGTTTTAATGGGAATCTTCCACATTTCACAATTACTTCTTTTAAACATTATTACTGTGTCTCGGTCATTCCATATCTAGCATCGATAGGAACTAGACTAGTTTCTTTAGTAGTAAATTTAAATTGTAATTACATAAGTTTTATTTTAATTAAATTACTTTGAATTAATTTTGGTTTTTTTTGGGTCCTCCGGCGGCGACATCCATAATTGGCGCAGTCGGTAGGATACTCAAAAAAGCTTCGGTGGTTAGATTTTCTAATATCGATAGTCACTTTCACCACCGTAAGCGTAGGGTATCTAAAAGAACCGGGTGTCCCGGATCGGAGGATAAATCCGAACATTGATCCCAGAGGAACCAGAATGCAGTTCATGTAAGTACACTCAAATTTTTCTTGTGTGTTGCTTTCCTTTCCCTTTAAGTGTAATTTTTACTTTGCAAAATTTTTCATCCTAGGCAAACTACCCCTAGAGGGCCTGCGCGTGCAAAATTAGCTCGTAGGCTCGAATTGGATAGTCATAGAAATATTAGTGTAGAGTTAAATAGTACTTTAGATTCCTCGGTAGATTCGGTAGCTTACCAATCAATCGAGATGACTGACGTAGACACAATTTTTAAGGCCTTACGCCTGGTGCCAGATTTTGATGGTAACCCGCACGTATTACCAAGATTCATTCATTTGTGCGACCAAATTGTTGCGGAATATATTACCGCTAATCCTGGCAACGAACTAGCAAAGCTCTGTCTTATTAATGGCATATTAAATAAAATTACTGGGCCAGCCGCGCGTATTATTAATTCGAACGGCATATCCGAAAATTGGGATTGCATTAAAAACGCACTGATTAATAATTTCTCAGATCAAAGGGATGAGACGGCTTTGTATAACGATCTTATGTTAGCCACGCAAGGGAATAGTTCGCCTCAGGAGTTCTATGATAAATGTGTTAACTTATTCAGCACCATCATGACTTATGTCACCTTACACGAGTCAGTCGATACGACTGTAGAAGCTAAACGTGTTTTATATAAAAAATTAACGATGCAGGCATTTGTGCGCGGTTTGAAAGAGCCTCTAGGCTCTCGCATTAGATGCATGCGTCCTGATAGTGCTGAAAAAGCTTTGGAGTTTGTGCAAGAGGAATTGAACGTAATGTACCTTCAAAATCGTAACGATTCAGTATCAGAAAAGAAAATTCAAAGTGTTCAATTGCCAAAGCCAATTCAATTGGCTCCTAATAATTTCCCCGCGTTCAAACCATTCAATCCTGTTGCACGACCCCCTTCAATGCCAATATGGCAGCCGCCCCAACAGCAGTGGAAGCCGAATTTCCAGCAGCCAGCCCCATTTAGATCGATGAACATGCCATCACGCACGCAGCAAATGTTCCGTGCCCCACCACCTAACTATAACCCTCATCAAAATAATTTCTTTAGTGTGCCTAGAAATGTTCCTCAAAATCAAGGCCCTAAGCCTATGAGTGGCGTTAGTCACTACGTCACTAGAGAGAGGCCTCTGACCACGCAGTTGACGGGTCATGATTGGCGTAAGCATGGAAATATTCCAGCCTCAAATTATTTTAAAACTAAAGAAATGAATATGAATGAGTGTGATAGTTATGAAAATTATTATTATCCTGAATATTATAATTGTGATGCATATGATTACTATTACGCAGGAAATGATTTTTACTATCCGGAATCTTATTGTGTAGAACAGAGTTGCGAACCATTAAATGAGTGCCCTTCAGGCTACTCTGATGAACCTCAGCCATCTACTAGTTCCGTAGAAGAGCAGGATTTTCAGAAGCGCATGAAATCAGACAAGTCAAAATAGAATTAAATTTACAGTCACAAAGGCAACTCCCATATATTCAAATTTTGGATCCGCCTTTGAAATTATTAATTGACACAGGCGCTAATCAATCTTTTATTTGTCCAGACGCTATTGAACATTTTTATTCTAATTTTCCATTAAATTTTGATCCATTTGAAGTTACCAATGTGCACGCTACATCCAGAAATAATTATTCTATTAATATTCCTTGCTTTTCAGAATTTAATGAACCTGAAAATATTAAATTGTACATCTATAAATTTCATGAATATTTCGATGGGCTTATTGGACTTGACTTATTAGAAAATTGGGAGGCAAAAATAGATTTAAAAAATAAAGTACTTATAACACGTAATTCAAATAACCCTATTAACATGTATAACTCGCGAAACGTTAATTGGTACGAAGATATAATACCGGCTAATTCTTCAAAAATTATTAAAATTCCTATTAATTTGCAGGACGGTGATGCTTTTATAAATGAGCAAAGTATTTCTAATTGTGTCATTAATCAATGCTTAACTACTGTTTGTAATAACCGCGGATTTTTAGAAGTTTTTAATCCATCACAGCATGATTTAATATTTTCGTTAGATCGACCCGTTCAAGCAGAATCTTATAACGTAGAGTGTTCACGTTCTGTCCAGCATACTCCGCGAGCGACCGAAGTTCTATCACGACTTCGAACCGATCATTTAAACGCCGAAGAACGCGCGAATCTAGAATTGTTATGTAGTAAATATGCGGACGTATTCTACATAGATGGAGAAAAATTAACATTCACGAATAAAATTAAACATCGTATTCGAACCCAAGACGAAATTCCCGTATATACGAAAAGTTATCGATATCCGTATGTACATAGAGATGAAGTTAGGGACCAGATAGGCAAAATGCTAGATCAGGGTATAATCCGTCCCTCAGAATCCGCTTGGAGCTCGCCTATTTGGGTAGTTCCGAAGAAGGCTGACGCGTCCGGTAAAACTAAATGGCGTCTCGTGATAGATTTTCGTAAGTTAAACGAAAAGACGCACGATGACAAATATCCGATCCCCAACATCAGTGACGTGTTAGATAAACTTGGTAACTGTCAGTATTTTACCACTTTAGACTTAGCTAGCGGATTTTACCAAGTAGAAATGGACCCTGACGACATTCCGAAGACCGCGTTTAATGTCGAAAACGGACATTATGAATTTCTTCGCATGCCAATGGGACTAAAGAACTCTCCGTCCACTTTCCAGCGCGTAATGGACAATGTGCTAAAAGACCTTCAGAACACCGTCTGCCTGGTCTATTTGGATGACATAATCGTTTTTAGTACCAGTCTCCAAGAGCACATGACCAATTTAGAAAAGGTTTTTCAAAAACTTCGCGATTCCAATTTTAAAATCCAGATGGATAAATCTGAATTTCTTAAATTAGAGACAGCATATTTAGGTCACGTAATAAGTAAGGATGGTATTAAACCAAACCCTGATAAAATTTCCGCAATTCAGAAATATCCACTTCCAAAAACACCAAAGGAAATCAAACAGTTCCTTGGTTTAGTCGGTTACTACCGAAAATTTATACCCGATTTTGCGCGAGTCACTAAACCCCTTACTCAGTGTCTTAAAAAAGGTAGGAAAATTGTCGCAGACACAGAGTACATAAATTGCTTTGAGAAGTGCAAATTACTATTAACTAATGATCCGATTCTCCAATATCCCGATTTTTCTAAGGATTTTGTTCTCACAACTGACGCGTCTAACGTA